TAAGGTCAGTTAACATCTGAGTCAACTCGAAGGCGGTGGACGCGAATAAAATAATGTCATCGGCAAAACGAAGCTTTGTTAACCTCTTTTCGCCAATAGCAATACCTCTTTCTGTCCATCTAGCTATCGGTTTTTTTTAATATTTCCTGTAATACAACAATAAATAGTTTGGGAGATAGGTCTCCTTGATTTACTCCTTTATTTATAGAAAAGGATGGCCCTGTGCGGGCATTAATTTTGAATCTTATAGAATATTTTAAATAGTTCTTGAATGTAAATTTTCATTTAGATTTCTATCGTATGTATTTTTAGTACATTTGTAGAATGATTTTAATATTATGTTGTCACTTCAGAAAGATTCTTGCTCTGTCGTGATAGATTCTTTTAAAATGTATAGTCCTAGACATGCGAATAACCCATTAGGTTACATTTAAACTTTACCCTATACCGTAGATGTTTATACTTTTAGATTTACGTTTCACTTTGGAAAGTTGATTTATTATGAGTTCGGTATTAATATGTCAGTGAAATATACCTAACCTGCTCTTTTTTTCTTATTTTTTAAATTATAGTAAGTACTCTAAGCCAGTTATTTTCTGCCTACGTTAAATATTGATTAAGATTATTTCAATATGAAACAGTGTTAATCAATTACATAATCTTCGTTGTTTAATAATAGACTTAAATCAGAAACCTGTCTACAAAAGATCCGGTGGTGTATATACTATATACTAGTACATATTATATAAACGTAAGGATTGCCACAGTCTGCTTATCCATCCTTTATCATTCATATTTATAAAGTTATAATCGAATTGATACTAATTGTGTATCGGACCGTTACAGTTCAGTAAATAGCAAGGAAACCTCCTTTATGTTGTCTTTTCTTGTATAATGGAAAGATTTTAAGTAAGTTATCTCGTAGGTTAAAGTCGTATCTGGTACGTATAGGTGTGGCACTTCACGTAGCACATTTTAGATGATTAAGCCATTATGTCCTATTTGAATGCCTTGTAGTGTAATAAGACCATACCACTAAAGCTTTCGAAATTAGTATAATACTTATGAATACGTAGTTGTAAATCAATTTAAAAGTGTAGGAATTACTGAAGGAATCGAAAGTAATAAATAAAGGTTAGAAATGAATTTAAAGAAAGGGTGCGAGTCCAGTGGATAGGTTTTGCGTGCTGCACGCTATCGACCAATAAACAAACTTCGACATGACGTCAAAGCAGCGGAACTTCGTGGTTCTATAGCAGGGCAGGAACCTTGTATTACTACCGTTAGATATAATGGGTTTAGTTAATCACAGAGGTCAGCTATCAGTTTAACCTCGATTAAAGCTATGTTTCATGTAATGACTTAATTATTACGATAAAAAGATATTTTGATTGAAACGAAAGTTAACTACTGAAATGTCTTTCTAGTTGACCAAGTTTTAGTTTTCGCTGACAAAATGTTTAATTAACATTATACGAAAATCATTAACATGATATAAATTCATTCAATAATACATTGGAGTAAAGTAGTGTTGTTTATTAAATTGTAGTTCGTAATAAGTAAACTTTTTAGTTTTATGGATTCCTTTGTCATTCTGCTGGCATGCCTCTTTGAAAAGCCAAATATACTCAGACCAAAGATACTACCATTTTAGGGCCTCAAGTGCTATTACTATGTAGAGATATCATTAAAACAACTTCCAGCCTCCGGGTCTCAAAACCCAAGTTCCAATTCAAAATCACACTGTACATAAAACTATTTCCAAGACAATTATATTAGGGTGATCGGAAAGTTCTGTCGTTCTTTTATATTAAACGAAGATAGATAAATTTTTATCAAGCTTTTATTTTTAAACAATGTATGTATAATCACCTTCATTTTCAACAACCTCTCGTTTACACAAACTTTCAATGCCAGATCGATATAAATCGATTTATTTTTGAGCGAAATATTGGAAATGGTATTTTGGATAATGTCCAGATTTTTAAACTTTTAGCCACTTAGAAAATGATTAGAGAATGATGATGATGAAATGGAAATCTGATGTTGCAATAACAAGTGAGTATGTTGGATAAGCCCCCCTACTTTAATTCATAAATATTTTACAGTGTTTTTCATGCACAGTGCGGTATTGTATTTCTATGTAGCAGAATAACGTCTTTTCTGTTGACAATCGCTGGGCACTTTTCAATTAAAAATTGATTTACTCGATACAATTGTTCACAATAAAGATCTGCATTGACAGTTTGACCAGTACTTGACCCCAACTTCTTATATAATTCTTTATTTAAAGTAATAAAAACAGAATTTTCTACAATATTTACTTTCAAAATAGTCAATTCAGGGGGTCTCTTGTCATTTAGTGAATGTGCAACTCATCAATCTTCTAGGGCTCCATTAGTTATGGGGGTTCTACAGGGATCTATTCTTGGCCCCTTTTTCTTCCTAATTTATATTAATTATTTGCCATTTTTTGTACAGGACAAATGTGAGATAGTATTGTTCGCTGATGATACTTCACCTATTTTTAAAGTGAAGCGTTATTTACTAATGTACGACGATATAAACAATGCTCTCTCCAAGGTAGTTCATTGGTTTAATAATTCAAATAATTTATTATTAAATAATAAAAGACAAAATTAATAAAATTTTCAACACCTAATGTTCAAATTGTTGATAATGGTGTAATATTAAATGGCGAAGTGTTAAAACCGTTAGAATGCACTAAATTGCTAGGTATTATCATAGATTCAAAATTGCAGTGGGGCCCCCATATTGAGGAGCTAGCGAGTAGACTCAGCTTTGCGGTAAAAAATAAGACTTATTACTAACGTACATACAGCTCTCATAGTATATTTTAGTTATTTTCATAGTATTATGTCCTATAGTATCTCACTTTGGGGAAATGCAGCTGTTATTAATACCATTTTCGTCCCGCAGAAAAGAGCTATTCGTGCAATTTATAGTTTAGGTCCTAGAGTGTCATTAAGAGATTAAAGTAATAAAAATATTGACTGTTGCTTCTCAGTAGGTGTACGAATATGTTATGTAAGTTCGTAAAAATGTAAGAATTTCCCAAGAATTGTGACATGCATAACATTAATATATACAAGGACCAAAAACAAATTTGTAATACCTGTGACTCGTCTACACAGAGTCAGTAATTCTTTTTATGGACAATGTGTATACGCTTATACAACAGGATCGATCAACCGCCATATTCTAAAGAATTGTTAAAGAACGTTTGTTGAACGTTTGTGTGCTTAAGGCTATTATACAATTAATATATACAGTAGAAAATTGTTATAATTTAATGCTGAATAAAATATTTGAATTTGAAAAAATTGAATTTGAGTATTCAGAACTTCAAAATGATCTACCCAGCGAATACTCTGCCCAACACATAAAAGCGCCTTTATTGAGTGTAAACCTAACCAAACCGTACTTCGTGGCGTTTCATTCGGAGAGAGTCATTGCGTTTTGCGTTTTGAATTATCATAGACAACCCATATTCTTCTTCAGTTAACATACGATCAAAAAATGCTTCTGTATTGTGCCGCTGAAGGAATAAGTTGCTTATGATGGGGCGGTTAGCATTGTTTTCTTCGTACAGATTATGGGAAAACCAAACCTGCTCAATTTATTTTGCCAGTCTGTTACAAATATTATTTTATGTAGACCAAGGTTAGTTAGGATCTTTGATCATACCCTCCAACGTGCGTTCACCTTGTCGTGGTGGGAGGGCTCAGTAGTGCCCGGCAATCCAGCCGGACGCAAAGCCAAGAAACGCACAGGGAGCTGGCCCACTTCGGTGGGCGGTGGGAGATGGCCCTCTTTGGTGGGTGGTGTACCATGCGGGCTGCTCCTTGTACTTCTCTGATAGCAGAGTGGACCTTGGAGCAACCCCATGGTTCTTGTGGTGTGCTTCGGCAGACCTGCCGTCGGGGCGTTGTAGTTGAATGCATACCTAAGCGATCCTGCGACACCCCATTAAGACGGGGGAAGGTTTTGTTGGGTTTTAGTGGGTAGTACTGGCTTTACCGGTGAGGCCCTCGCCTCGTGCGTAAATGAATTTCCCAACGTTAAAAAAAGGATCTTTGACCATTCCTCGGTTGTCTGACACAGATTTGTTTCCACTTCCTCACTTGACATAGCATTGACCAAAGTTGTTGGTCTACCTGATCGGTACGAGTCAGAATAGCCGGATTTAAACTCAGAAATTATAGAATAAAATAAGAAATCTTTGAAATTTACAAAAACCTAATGCACTTGGATAAACATCGCAAATGTTTTTAGTAGTAAGAACTGCAACTACCTTTGTGTAACTAAAAAAGCATACAATGCCGGACATGTATTTTTTCTGATTTTTGCCCTGCCATTTCACAATATAATGCAAAATAATTTAAATTTTTTTATTAATTACAAGGAAATAAGTCACTCTAACCTCAAAATGTATTTCCAGGACTTTGATGTGCAAAATCAGCTGATAATAAGAAACGAAAATCGATATAGGCAGAAACAACATAACTTTTCGGTCCCCCTTTATATTTACGCTGTATGAGTCAGGTGTACATACCACACAATATATTGCAACAAACAATTTTATTCAAAAGGAGCTTTCCTTATTTCCACACAGCAAGTGTCTTATCAAATAAAAGCTACTATTCTATTTGAATATAACATTAACGAAGCATCATGTTAAAGCTTAAAGTTATTTTGAATATCATGTTAAGTTTCGTATACAATTATCTTTTTATTTTCAAATATAAAATCCAGAAGTGCATGCATGTGTTCGTAATTCTTCTTCTCCTAAGCGCTGTTCCCGTTTTTAATGAAAAAAATTGTTTTCTTATGGATAACCGGGTAGGGACGCTAATGGCGAGATCCAGATATTTTTTTAGTTTTCCAACGTCTACAACAACGCCTGCCTACCAGCTTTGCTACTTACTTAATATATTATTTGATATATAGTATGTAAATAAATTTATTTTGTTACCTACCTCAACATTTTCTGCTTTCGGATGTCTTCTTCTTAATGTAGAGTCTTGATACGAGTATCTTACTGGCATGACTGGGTCTTCACCCGACACGGCACGTTGGTACGACAGTCTCCTTCCCTTCGTGTCTGGATTTTGACAATAAAGTTCATGTTCGGGTATGCAAGAAAAATCTTGATATGAATGAGACGTCTGCATTTCTTTAGATGTTTCGTCTTGAATTTTTCGTCTTAAATAATTAGTCAATCCTTCACTTGCTATCCAAGTTACTCTAAAATTAAAATTATTGGATTATATATTTATTGATTAGTAATTAATGCATCCTAAAATTAAAAGCTCTATAACATTTTAAGATAACAAGTATTTTTTCCTTCATTGGAATATTATGAGCTAGTAAAGATTTTATTATAATTTGCAAATTTCAGCAAAAAGTTCCAAACTGGATTATCTCGGAGAAGCGATTGAATTGGGGAAACAGACTGTAACGTCTCCGCAAAAAATATTTAAGAGAATCGGGGATTATTTTCAACCTTTATTGGAGAATGTGACCTCCCGAGTGTATAAATTACGCTTCATCCAAAATGCCTTGACTCGCTATTATATATAAATTACCTATGATTTTATGTATATTTTCAAATTTAATAAGTATGAAGTAAAGCTTCCTTAATGTGTTGCCATCAATAATAATGAAAGAATTATTTATCATTATAATAATTAGACTTACCTGTTCGAACGAGATGTTTTTTTGCGTTGTTGCCCAAATGGAGAGTCTAGCCCAGAATTCATAGACATTGCTCGTGACTTTAGCATAGCTTCTTTTAAATAAAAATCATTTAAGTCTGAAAAATAAAATAAAAGGCATAAATTTTAAATTATTAGTAAAAAGTCATATTGTATTTAAATGTAACAAAATCTTATACACCTTGCTAAAGAAAAGTTTACTTAATCACAACTCTTATGAATTACAATATAAGACATAAGAGGATAAAATAAAACGAAATAAAGATTCCATTGAACAATGAAACAAAGAAGATTTAGACCGACATTACAGCTGTAAGATATTTGCCGATTGTAACTTTAGGTTTTGAAAGTTATAATAAAATTTAGATATAACATTTCATTTTATTATATTTTCATAAAAAAATAAAGTAACTAGGTTTTGTTAAAAATATTACGTTAAAAGAATTTTTAATGCCAATATTTAATAATAACTTATTATATTATATTAATTTCTTACGATAACGTATTCAAATATATACAGGTAAATAAATATGTAACAAATCGATGGGACATGGAAGAAAAGTACCTTAAATATTGAAGTTATCAAGATTTACTCGAAGGAAACATGTAATTTTTTTAAAATAATAATAACTGCATTTAATATATTTTTTAAATCTTGCCTGAACCGGGAATCGAACCAAATAAAAATGCAAAAAGGACACCGTCACTGTTTTATCGAATTAATCGATATGGGAAGGATAAAATCTCTCAAACAAACATTGCGTCTTAGAATTAAATAAAACAATGAAATCTTACAAATTATACATATGGGCTCTAACGTCGTGGAATAAACGCATAAGACAAGGAAGAAAAGTGACTGAAACCTTGTAAATATCAAGTTTCAGTCAAAGGAAACAATATTTTATTTTTAAAAATAAGTAGGTATAACTGCATTTATTTATTTTTTAAAGAGGTGGCCTGAACCGGTAATCGAACTAACTGAAAATGCGAAAAGGTAGACTGTTACTTTACTTTATTTCATCGAATTAATGGATAAAGTCTATGGTAAAGATGAATTTAATGTCTCGAGCGAAAATTGTATGTTACAATCAATGAAAACGATGAAATCTTACAAATTGCACATATCAATCTTAAGTAACGTCCCAACCTAAAATCCAATTCTAACGTAATGGGCTTGTGAAATCAAGCAAAATAAGCCCAAACTTAAAGTTCCTACTATTAGCCGTTGAAGAGTTCCACCTATCCACCTTTTGGCCTTACTATCAGATCAGGTCGACGATGCCGTACAACTGCACAATCAACGGAAATAAAAACACTTGCAAAGTTTCAAGTCAATAGAATACGGTTAGAAGTAGATAAAATTTTCATTAGGTATTTCTCCACCCTTAGGGGTGGTATTATTTTTTTTTTCAAATTTAAATAGGATCAAATGGGAAATATACACTTTCCAACAAAACAAAAATTGTTAATAAATGATGAAGTTCCGAGTAATACACCTAAAAAAATACAGCTAAATTGAGAACCTCTTTCTTTTTGAAGAAGTCGTTTGAAAAAAGAGAGCCCAATTGAGAACCCACCTTTTTAAAGAAGTTGATTAAAAAGGGCTGAATACTTTGTGGATAATAAATAGCTTAGATTGTGATGTTAGTTTAGGATAGATTAGGAATAATGAAATATTTCCTTTGAGTAAATATTAACAACTTCAATATTTAAGGTACTTTTCTTCCATGTTCCATCGATTTGTTTCATCCTGTATATTAGATACTAAATAAAAGTTACGACTGCCGAGACTACCTACTGTACTACCGATGGGTCAAAAACTTCATTACTTTATTTTTATGTCAAATTCACGTGATTTATAGATCGCTTAGAGTAGGTATAATTTACGACAAAGATGGTCTAAAACACTATTTTCCTGAATTTGATCAACACAAAAGAGGAAAGAAACATATCTGCTTAAATGAGTAGGTACCTATTTACTCAAAATGTAACAATCAAACTATCAATTACTGAAAAAATGTATTATTGTGTTAATTAATTTTAGTTTATTTTTTGGCGCTTTTCTCTTTTATTTTTTGTTCTTTACTAAATTACAAATTTAATATATACAATATATTTTATCAATTAAATACATGCATTGTATATAATATGTGTTATTAAATACAGTACATTACTACGGCCTGATCCCGTATTATAGAAAGGGGCTTAGATCGAACTCACGCTATTCATAAAAGATATTTTTGTCCGTATGTAACGTAGGTATGTATCCATATGATTGTAAGGAATCCATGTTATGCGATCCCGTGTAGTCCAATCGGAATCCGGTTTGGGAATAAAATATTGAAAACCTGAAGTTTTATGATTTTAAAATATTATCAGGTATATATAAGGAATAGAAGTTAGTAAAATGCCGCGGATACCAGCTACCCCCGAGAAATAGAGGGACACAAAGCGTTGAAAAATAGTTTTCGACGAAATATATATTAATATTTCTATTCCTTATATAGCTGCTAATATTTTAAAATCATATAACTTCAGGTTTTAATATATTTTTTTCTCTTAAAAATAAACGGATTCCGATTGGTCTATTGTTTAATAATAATGAATTTATAACCTCCGTTTTGTTTATATCATTATTTTAAGCAAAAGCATGACGAGTATTGGTTATTTGTGTTATGCTTATTGCGTATCTACTATCTAGCATCTCGCACATGTTATCTGGCTTATTCATACTAAATCCACATTACACATTTAATATTTCATGTATATTATAATTTATATTTTTATGAATATTTACAATGTAATTGATTTTTATATTCTGTAGTGGACTTTAGAAGGAAATCGGGGGGCACGGCAGGGCCCCGCCAAGTCGAGCAAACAAATCGAGAAAAAAAGGGCACGGCAGTACCATCCTTTTCTCGAAGCGATTCAGAGCATTTTCCACCCCCCCCATAACTTCGTTATGGATAAAGCTAGAGCTTGAATTTTGAGTGACCAAGAGTACATAATAAAATTATGTACATTTCCAAATTACATTCAATTTGAACCTGTAGTTTATGAACTGTTGCAGATCGAAATTCGTTAATATCGTCACTTACTCACTTACCGACCATCAAAATTCTAAAGTACTTCTAGCAGACATAGGAGGTTCAAATTTTGAACACAATTAGTGTTTACCCTATAACCCAAGGAAAAACTCAAATATCACGCAATTTCAATCCTGTTTTCGAGATATACAACAAACTGCATAAGTAACTTTGTAATCCTATACAAATAGGTATGTGATATATGGGATTACAAAGTTAAGTTTGCAGTTCATACATATAATTGTCGTCACTTAAAATACCCAAATGGATAGCTAGGTGAATAGTGGATATACTGTAAATGTTAGTGACGACTAAAATGTAATTATAAATATTGTAAATAGTTTTAAGGAAAAATATATTTAATACAACTAATCTAACACTCGGGTATTTTCGTATCGAGAATTGCTGTATCCTATCACCTCGGGGCAATACCGTTGCGAGAGCCGCTCTTAGTGGCTACAAGATCTCAAAATATATAAAAAAATATATGTAATATGAGTAATCGAAGACTCGGGTGTTTTCGTAGCGAGAGTCGCTGTGTCTTATCACCTCGGGGCAATACCGCAGCGAGAGCCGCTCTCAGTTGTGTATATAGATTTCAAATATAAAAAAAATATATGCGCAAACACCAGCAACAGCAGTCATGTGTAGCCTCCCGGGAGTCCCTGACTTCCTGGAGCTACACAAACTGGTACCTACGTTCAAATCGTTAGGATATATAGGATATAGGATCAAACCCAGATCTCTTACACTTATCGACCAAATCATAGAAGTAAGAGAATTCGTTGTACAATACAAACCAGCACGAATACTTCCAAAAAACATTCATATCGTCATCGAGAATATTTTGTATAGGATAAATATAGCTATTAAATACATTGTCTAAAGCCAAATTTAGCCATTTACTATGTATCTATACGTGGTCTATCTTTTGTATGCCTATCTATATTAGGTTTTTTGCATAAAAATCTTATATGAGGTTATGCAATTCACAGCTTAGAATGCCTTACTCAGAGGTTCAGTCAAAACTATTATTATTCATACGCTAAAATTCTTTTAAATTAAATTTTTAAATATCTCCTTATAGGTTATTACATAAAATTATATTACATAATTGATATACATAATAAATATTGTGTGGTAGTACAGAGCCCTCGGAGCGTGAGTTCGACTTCTACTTGACTATTAATACAAATATGTATTTGTCAATATTTAGTTTAGTCATGTTAAAAAGAGAATACACAAATAAATCATGTTTTATTTTATTAATTATTTTTAAAGTAATATAATCGATGCTATAGCAATAAATGTATTAAGAACACTGAATTTATATGTGCATAATTATATCAGATGAACAAGAAAGCTTTTACGATTTTATTACTAAGCCACATCCAACTTATAGTATTTGTTTCTCAGGGTCCCGTTTGCCATCACTAATAATAAGTATTTAATTTGTTTAAGTAGGTATTTTTTTAATTTAATGGTGTTGTTTTTATACTTTAAAATAATAGTTTACAATAAAATAGACTTAATTTAAATATTTTGACATAAATAAACATCATAGCCATGGATGACAAATAAAAATCATAGCTTTCTTTATTTTGTGTCGTTGATGTCAAATATAATTTCGTTCAAAAATCATAAAATATTTTAATTATATAATGTTTCCTTTTACTATTAAAATTAAATATTATTTTCAATAACCGATATCTTACTTTTAGGTTTTTCACCTCATTCATAATGTTCTAATAAATTTTACCATAAATAAACGACTAATTTAATAGTAAATTAATTAGTTATACAATAGTTGTAATGTAAAAGGAGGTTAGGTTAGTGTTTAACCTGTATGTATGTTTGTATGTTCGATCCTATGTTCCCTCGTAATTGCTAACCTAATCACGATTCGTCTATTTATTTATTAATGTTGATATTGCAACTACTGTATACATGTATTAGAAAAATATTATTCAAATGTGAAAATATTATTTCAAGCGTTTTCAGTAGCTGTATACATTTTTATGCATTTACAAATGGGTACATAAATATAACGTGAAGCGTGTATAGTGTATACCAACTAATATTCGATTACCTGTTATTTATAATGAATTTATTAAAATATATACCTAATTACGACAAAACTTGACGATTACTTAATTTTGAAAAAAAGCTCGTACATTTTCTTTTACAAAGTATGATGTTGATATGAATTAGAAAACATGTCAACATTTCATTGCTCGTACGTCGTAACTGTACTCACCTAATAGAACATGGAATATAGAGTTCATGAAATATCAATCTCTTCGAAAATTACTTTTAAAATGGCCAATGGAATCAGTGAATGAAGTCAGTTGGCAACCTCAGTTTTTTATTAAACTGCATCAAAATTGACTGAACAAGCAATAATAATTAAGTATAACAACCTTCCGGTTTACTTACGATGCCGCAAATAGACACAACTTTGTCATAAATCGTTACCCCGAATTAGTTAAGTTGCAACATTTTATAGTGACCGTATTAATATTAGATATATTTATTTCTTTAATTAATAGAATGACTTCCAGGCACTAAAATGTAAAAAATAACTAAACGGAGTTTTTCATTCAGAATCTAGTCACATATTTTCGAAGTCGTTGCCAGCCGATGCAAAGCAAATGCAATATATTTCGATACGTAAAATACATCACAAATTGATGTATACTATATATTTTACTATAATTAGAGATAGGAGTTCATATCTTAAAATATTGTCGGCTGGCACTCACTTCGAAAATATCTGATTCTAAGATCTACTCTAAATGAAAAGCCCCGTTTAGTTATTTTTTACATTTTAGTACCTGGAAATCGGTTTTTATTTTTTAAACTTATTATTTTTCCATTTTTAGTGTAGACGTAATAAGCAGGTAATTTTTAAGAAGAACGTTTTTAAATAAAATATTCGATAACGCAATTTATTTAAAAAAATAATTTATTGTTGATTATTTAAAAACCGCTTGACCGATTTCGATAAAATTGAAATGGGACCACCTGGGAAGTATACTTTATGAAACAAAAAAATATTTCCAAATCGGTTCAGGCGTTTCGAGTAATCGGTGAAGATACATAAAAAAAGTTTCCGACGAATTGAGAGCCTCCGCCTTTTTAGAAGTCGGTTAAAAATAGTTTTCCAATAAGGGAAAATAGTTGTATAAGTCACAAAAATACGGACGGATGTCCATGTTTTTTTTTTAAATTAAACTACAGAACCCTAAAACACTACGTACGTGGTTTCATCTATTTTATCTTTTAGTTTTTCTTTAGAAATCTCAATTCAAAGAAAGGGGTTCAAAGAAAAAAATCTGAATTGGTGTCTTACGAGGATTTTTCAAGCTTTTATTTAACTTCACTTGTATGTGTATAAGTACTTGCTGAGTAAATCTTGCAACATTTTTAAGCAGTTTTATATTTAACTTGCATTGCCCGCGGCTCCGCCCGCGTTCAGAAGTTCAGAAATGAGATATTTTACCGCGGTAAAAAGTATCCTAAGTAATATGTTGAACCGGATAACCAGCTATCACCATATCAAATTTCATCAAAATCCCTTCAGTGGTCTTTCGGTCATGCGGTAACAGACAGACAGACAGACAAAAATTCTAAAAACTGTATCGATAATAAATAATAATGTTTATTTCAATAAGATTTTCCAAAAAATATAGTTACAATTTTATTAAATGGATAGATAATATATATATTTTAAATATAAAATTAATTTATAATATAAACGTCCTACATAGAAGATTTAACATGGTGTGTTTAGATAACGAATTCTAAAATGAAACAAGAATTCATAATAACAGGTGACAATAGAAATAAGGCTCACGTTTGTGGTTTCGCGCTATTCAGTATCAGGTGTCATTTAATAGTAAATGCGTAACACAAATGTATAGTATTTTGAGCGCTGGATTAACAATAAGGGTATTCGGAGCTAGTGCCCATGGCGGTAAATTTTTAGGGGCGGCGAAATTCGGGGGGTGGAAAAAAATTTCTTCGCGTTATCGAATACGCTTTTTTTATTTTCCAAAACAATGAAAAATAAAAAAAGATTAACTAATAGGTACATTTTTAGAAAAAATGATATCATTTATACATTATTTTGTTGCATTTTTCAAAAAAATTTAATAATAAAAAAAATGTAAATTTTATCGAAACTTTACCCATTTTATGCAAAATTTCGAAACAGAGCGGCCTTTTTTTACTATGCCCCGGGGCGACGCTAAGGTAAAATCCAGCCAAGAGTATTGTACTTGTACTTCGATACTATTTTTGCCACTAACTGATCGAATTTGTAAAAGCTACCTATTATTTTGATTGTTTAAAATATATTGCAAAATTATTTTGATTGTCAGTTATAGTAACACCTATTTTACCCCCCCAACCGCCCCCCCCCCCCCTCCTAAAGGATGAATTTCAAAAAATACTAAAACACACGTATTAATTTAATTTTATTGAAGAGGATTAATACCAAGTTTCAAGTAATTCTGATCATAAATATTTTTTTGGATTGTATTATAACATGTTTTCCCGTGGGGAAACCAGGTAATTTCCCGCGATAAACTCACTCACCAGCCCTCCAACTATCTCCACACAAAAAATCACGCCAATCCGTCACTCCGTTTCGACGTGGAAGAAGGACAAACAAACAAACAAACAAACAAACAAACAAACACGCTTTCACATTTATAATATTAGTATTTATGTCAAATATTCGCCTCTAAGAAAGTACCTATAATTATAACAAAATAGTTTGAGACCCTGGAAAGATAGGATACTTTTTATCCCGGAAATCGTCCCTTAAGGTTGTGAATATGGGGATGAAAGTTTTATTGGGAAGCAAGCTAGGGACGAACCCGAGCGAAGCGAGTGTGAGTCGCTAGTATATTTATATTTTTGAGTCATAAGCTCCCTTGTGACACTTATGGCCGATTTCACCAACGTCACCTAAGTTTAAGGGATCCCTAAGCAGGGTTAGGAGGCTATAAGGGTACAGTTTCTGTTTCACCGACAGTTAGGGGTCACCTAAAAATTAAAAATAATAAAATGCCACCTAAATATAGGTACTAGGAATACGGACTCTGATGATGGTAAAACGAAATTTAATTTAGGGGCTAGTTTAGGAGAACTTTTAAGCTAGGGATCCCATACGTAGGTGGTAGCTTAAGTGATGTTGGTGAAATCGGGCATTAGTTTCTCTGTAAAACTGTTGTAAAAATGTAGTGTATTTATAGAAGAAAGTGAGTAGAAAAAGTAAAATATAGTAAAATGAGTTAGAATTTTAAATCGTGAAAACAAGCGCACGAGAAAAGATAAAAATATTATTTACTTCACAGTCTCAAACATATACTTCAATTGTATTTGTATTTATATCTCAGTTACAATTGTTATAGGCATGAACGAATTAACCACAATTCGTTCATGGTTATAGGCTATGCTACAGCAATTAGTATATTGTTATTGAAACTCTAATCAGTCAATCAAACGATCAAACTTATACAGCTTTTCATATACGAGTACTTTCTACGAGTAAACAATCCTAATTTGTTATATGGTTTTTGGAAGGTTTTTGCTCATAGTATTTATAAATATATCCTTATTATTGTTTTATATATTGATTATTTCTTGTGAAATATAAATAAATACGAGTATGTAATAAAGTTAGTTGAAAGTTTACAAGCATAAGGACGCGCGTTCGATTTCTGCCGATGATTTAATTCCTACATCAACAAAGTAATTGCTTTGTGACCATGAGAATCCACAAGGTGTTATTTTGAAATAATTTAGAAAAAATATTAATAGCTGCACACGAGAAAGACCACTAGGCTGCATAAAACTATTAAGAGCAAAATGAGTGTTATATTTACTTATAAAATAATTATTGAGTACAAAACTAAAATTAATTATTGTGTATTTATTTAGTTTGTAAATGTAAGAATAATAACTTACTAAGATCACTGTTGGAATGTAAATTCTCTAAAGTAGAAGAGGACAAGGCGTGTAGGGTCGGGTTACTTCCGGCGAGGCTGTTTTGCGGAGAAGGACTTGGCGGTTGGGCACTGTGCCTCAGGGACAAGCTGGAGGTGCTACGCACTATTGGGGTAGGTGTTTGTAAGCTTGATTTGCTTCCATATGACTCCTTAAACATATAGTAACGTATGTTTAAAACAGCTAGTTAAACATTTCTTTTTATTGTACTACCATTTGCTGACATCAACAACAAAAAAATGAGATTTTTTTTAATCCAGGATAGACTAAACACAATATAGCTAAAACATAAACATACCTATATAATTATTTATTTAAACATTTCATATATTGTCTTTACCAAAAAATATGCTTAATTTTTTGCAAAAATATTTTTTAAACTAATACTCACTTGTTGGTCGCTTGTAATTGTTTCAGCACTTGGGTTCTGATATTTTTCATTTAATGATTGAAGAGATACTGACATTGAAACCCGGCGTTGTAATGATCTATTCTGCCTTCTAAACATTTCTGTTGTATTCCTAACAAAACTATCCATTTTCTTCCTGAAGAACGAAGATTTCCGTTCAAGTGGAGATTTCCCAATTGAATGCAAATCTAATTCAGATTGTGAGAAACCATCTTGCCTCGATAAGATCGTATGGTCTAGGGACAGTTTTCTTTCTCGACTATTTTCGCTAGATTTTCCATTAGGTACAAGTAAATTTAATTCATTGTGATTTGAATTATTTTTTTCGTTGTTTTCTATATTGTTAATAGATTGTTTTGCCTCATCTAGTATAATATTACATTTACTACTGTTTTCAAATTCTTCAGTCGATTCGTTTTCACAAATATCTATAATACTCTCTACGCTATCGGTAGAAATGGATTTAGTAATCAAAACATCTGGATTCGTCGCGCTTAACGGTTCTGATGAATTCTGATCGGCAGACATTTCCAAACATTCGTCTTTATTAAAATCTTCATTACTCACAACATTGTTACCACAAGGGGTTTCTAATCGCATGCTATTACTCATCTTAACTGTTCTCAATATTTCTTTTATTTTAAGATTCTCTTTGATACTATTCACATCCGTTATGAACTGCGGATACTTGTCTTTTGAGCACTCTTTTGTCTGTTTTTCCTTTCTCAACTTTTGTTTCAATTTATCCATGTTATCATAGTACAACACTACAAATTTCTAAACACTTTTTTCAATATCACATAAATCTGACACAATTTAATAAATTATTCCACATGGCCATTGAAAAACTTATCAGCTGTGAGCGCAACGTCACACCTGTATAAATCGTTTAATCACAGTGAAGGTATTGTGACGATAACAAATTATCGCCAACCTCACGCGCCACATCAGTCGAATGAGTAAAGAGCAAGTACAATAGGTTGATCGGTACTTACGTGAAGTTTAAATATATGGTATTATTACTAAGTACATTAATTAAATAGAAACGTTGAATGGCTTAGTTATACTCATCACACTACTCTGCATTTAAGCGATATCTGGCTCCTTGAGATTATCTTCGATAATATGTTACATATCACTATTTTTATCTTTTCTATCTGAAGTTTAAAACCTTCACGTATGCTACATTAATATACTTATTTTCCATTATATTTCGGCCCATAATATTACCAGTTTAGCAAATATTTACTTTATAATTGTTTACTAAATAGATGTCAGACAAGATACTGTAGTGAACTTCATACTTTCCGTGTCATGTAATACGCACTTATATACATTTTGTTTTCATTGTTTATTTAGATTTATTATTTAGATTAATAATATTTTTATCATGAGATAGTTATAACAAAAATTCAAACTTTTGTTTGTTGTTTTTTTATAATGATTGATATCATGCGAGTAAGCGTTTTTTTTTCATAACCATTTATTCGTTTCTTCATTTATTAAACATATAAAGAATCAAAGATGTTTTCATTTTTAAAATAACTTTTTTTTCAGCAAATTAAACAAAATATATCACATATTTGCTTGATTGATATTTAATTTCTCGATGGCTATTCAAGGCATCGTTATCGCTGAGCTCGTATATGGATAGCATTGCTACACGTTTGTTATCAATGGTTTTACACATGGTTACTACACATAAAAAAATGTATACAAGTAGAGTTATTTTTAATATAACAAAACAGATGATACTAATTATTAATTATTATATAACTAATAATTGTAATTTAAAAAATATATAGATACAAAAACATTAAAATAAATTCTCTTCCAGAGTTTCCAGAGAGTGCTTATAAGATACTTTAACATTCATATCATTTTGACATCATTCAAGATCCAACATAGTCATTAATAACATTTTTATCTGAGATTCAGTGCATGAGCATGAGCCTGCATCCTGCAATACGTAAACAGCTATTAACAATGTTTATTTGCTTATTTTTATTTGTTAGCTATTTTTATTATGATTTTGGTATGTAATGTCCGCGGGCCTTGCGAGTAATTTGAATTGTTGGGGAATATTAACAGCTTCTGAAGAAATTTTCTTACTATACGCGCCTATTTAGGACGGTTGCCGTTTGCATGGTATAGTGTTTGGTGTCAGCTAAATTATTTCTTATTATTATTTGGATCTCTCCCGATTTCACGGGATCGAACGGACCCAGTCCTTTGGAAGGCTTGCTTGCGTGAGGACAGAGACCCAACACGTAGACGTCTCATAAAGTGGCTTATGAGATGTAAAATTTATTTAATGTGACACATCAGCCGAGATCCATCTCTGAGTGAATCCCATACCACTTGCCTATCATTGCTCAAAGATAGTCACTGGATAATGCGTATGAACCATAGAAAATATGGAAAACTAATTGGGTCTATGGAATGGAGTTTAGGTGGGCTACAGAACTGGGCTATTAGATGAGACTAGCGGATGTCTCCCTTCTCTACAGTCTCAACATTGAACCTTAGGCAAACGGTGACTAGCTTCCTGCTAGATATGCCCTCACAAAAAGGTATATGCCTCGGGCGCAACATCAGCGTGGTCTATCCAAGGGTGTGGGGAAGTATGCAACAGTTTCACCATCACGAAAGTGCTCGTGAGCGGTTTCCCCTTTATTACGCAGATTATATGATTTCGTAATTGTTTTTTATTGATAGCCCTAAAACTCGTCAATAGCAACTAGTACATAATTAAAATAAAAAACAGTTAATAAACAGAGCAGAAAAAATTATTGAACTATTTTGTCTTTGCCTATTTACATATATAGTACCTGGGCGATCGAGCCTTGCTCGGAGTGTTTGGCCAAAAAAAACATTAAAAAAAAACAAACTAAGACTTTGAATAACTACAAAAAAAAACAAAATTAAAAACTTTATGTCCGACCAGGATACGACCCAGACACCTGTGGTTGTCAAATTTGCGCATTGGCCGCTTGACCATGATGCTTATATCTGAGCATGCGAAATTATCGAACATAATATTTTGCGTGGAATTATTAATTATTAATTTATTGAAATAATGCAAAAGGAATCATAATAATAATAAAGCTCTATTTATTTATTCATTTATATATTATAAAGGCTTACTAACTAAATTTACATAAAAACATTTATTTAACATTATAATTTTACCTATTTGTATATAAATTTAATTTAAAAGTATGCACAGCTTTTTATAAAAGTATTCCATTAAAATTTTATTTGGTTAAGAGTATATAAGGAGCCATTCTAGTTGTACAATAAACAAAAGAAGAAAAAAAAATCTAATCTAAATATTTAAATACACTTTCTTTTTAAATAAATTTAAACTATCAGAAAAAATTTCTATATTACATTGCTGAAATATAAAATTATATAATTTAGTGACTATTTATTAACTTATAATTTTTTAACTACTAATTTTGTAATCTGGAATTAAATTATTTTAAAAATCTTTAATATTATTTGAAATTATATTGTATATATATAAATTATCATTAACAAATAAATAAACAATGACAGTAAATTAAATAATTCAAATAATTAAAATAATTGAGTAAATACTAAACATTTCACAATAATACATATAAATAAAATTTCTTTCCATACATTAATTGTGACAATAGTTATAAATTAGGTATTTAATTTCATAATTAAATGTATTTATTTAGTAAATGTCTTTTTCATGTATAGACCCCTCTCGGTTAAAAGCCTCCTCCAAAGTAGTCCTGCATAGAGCTCTCCGTTGGAGATTATGCTTGTATGATTGCAAAGGGTTTCTTTTCAAATTTTGTTTCCAATATATAATTTGTTTCTGATATGCCTATCAAGTTTATAATTTTATCTTTGTGTTCTTTTGATTTGTTGTAGGAAATGCTGCTTTTAATTCTAGAAGTTTTTCTGGTGAATATATGTATTATACAAAGGTATTGTTCATTGTATGTCTGTTTTTCTTTGGAGGGTTACGGTCGAACTCCCCCACAGTGACCGGTCGTACTGGGGGATAAAAATGAGGAGGTTCCTACTGTGTTTAATATACTGTATCTTGCTGTGTTGTTTTTAGTTCTTCCTGGTTATCATTTGTGTGGTTGAAAGTTAATTTTGGTTTTTGTAATATAAAGTCTTTAATATTAGCAGGTTCGGTTTTCTTTGTATGTTGTTTATTTGTTAGTTTTTGTTTATAATTGAGGTAAGGCGTTTCTGAAGATACAGGCAGACTTCTTATATTTGAGTATTGGCGAGAAGTGTTCTTATTATTATCCACAATAATTCGTTTGTCATATTTAATGAAAGCTGTTTTGCCTAGGTCTTCTTCTTTATCTTCAGTTGGGCTTGTAACTCCTTGCGTTTGTTTAAGACTTTATTTTTTCCTCTAGTTCATGATAGGATTTTTCACCTTTTTCTACTCCGAACATAAATAACCAAGTTCTTACGCCTAATATGTCTTTCTAAATTATATATTGAGGATTTTTTTATTTCTAAGTGTTTAAATTTCTCATTTAAGTATATTATTGTTGATTGTATTTTTAATGTCTTCTTTCATTTCTAACATCTGTTTTCTGCTGTCTTATTTCTTGTTGTATGTTTATTAGCAACTTTTTTATCTCCTCCATCTTAAGTGTGAAGTCGGAAATAGAAAAGCTGATTGAAAAAGAGCACCAATTATACCTAGTTGAATTGCAATTATATACAGAGTATTAGTTTTTGAGGTTATAAACTTATGTTTTAATATTTTACGCTTCCTCTTCACAAATTATTTTGTTTTATTGTCATCACACACAGAAAAGATGGTTTTGCACTAATAGTATCTGTATGTTATGTTTCTCACTTTTGTATTTGTTTGGTAGGTGAATTTTTAAAAGCTCATTTGTTCTTCAACACATCAAGACTTGGTGATGTGTTCATATTGCCCATAGGTTTTATCGATTAATATTTCTTAAAATTATTATTAAATTAATTAGAATTTACCATTTTCTTTAGATTATTTCCACTTAAATATTCTTAAACTTGATGTAAATACGGACACGATATTGACAGTTGTTCAGTGGCGCCTCCCACCCACCAGAAGTGACACTGACAACTGACAATACAAAAATTGTGAAAATGCAAAAGAAAACCGCATGAAAATTCGAAAACACGCGTTTTTCCAGACATAAGACTAATCTAGATCGATTTAGCGCCCCCGAAACCCTTTGTATACTAAATTTCATGAAAATCGTTGGAGCTGTTTTCGAGATTCAGATTATATATTGAGATATATATATATATATATATATACAAGAATAGCTCGTTTAAATATATAAGATATATAGTTTTTATGGTACCTTTATGATAGAAAAATACATAATGTTACGTAGCTATTATGCTGTATGGACCAACCTATAATTTAGAAATATCACATTTACCTGCATTTGTTATTTAACCTTTCCCATTTGCGTCAAATGTTATCAAAAGTTGGATAGCTGAGAACGCTCGAACTCTTGCTAAGCTCCATATTAACTTACTTCAGGAAATCCGTTTTCATATGAGACGTCTTTAAATGCAAACCTACACTATTTGCTGCTTCTCGCTGAACTTTATAAACTACTGGTATTTACCAAACAATCATATAAAATTCAAAGCAAAGTAATTTCAAGTTCTGTGAATACTAAAGACTTCTTAGTTGGAGAAATAAGAGGATAGTACGATATGAAAGCTTATTTTGTTAATGTATAAACTGTCGCGAAGCGAATCGCGTATTGAATTTTTGTTTCAAAATTGTAGGCTAATTTTATTGAAATCTTCACAAAAAGGCTTTTGGGGAAAAGAGTAAGGATTTTTAGCTGTAGCTTTTAGTTCTTAGAGTATTTTAGGTTTAAATTTCGAAAGCCAAAATTCTTAACTATATTCTATATATTATATCTAAAACTATATTCTACTCATGTTTTTATCATATATGTACTTCATTATATTCCTATTACCTACTATTATATTATCCTAATTGGGGCTATTTATACTTTTTTATACTTCTCTCAATCGAAGAACCCGAATTCGGGAATGGGGTGGAAATGAGCAGGAATTATATGAATCAGAAAACTAACTCTTAACTTATTTACTTCTCTGAAGAAGATAATCCTAACCCACCAAATGTAAACTTTGTGTACATGCGAAAGAGAATGAACATTAAAGTGATAATAACAATCTGCAAAGAACAAAATGGTAGCTTAGTACTGAGATATTTTATTAATTTCTTATATTTTATAAATGTGATTGTCTTCTTTAGAAGTCTATTAACATCCGAGTTAAAATGGTTACTTTACTAGTACATAATTAACATAGTATCTATTACCTACAGTATACAATATAACTTTGTTCAATCATTGAATACGTTTTGACACTTTTTGACGAAACGTTTACACTTAGACTACTCTAGTAAAAGTGATAATACTTTTAGATTATTATATGTTTTTCTAATGCGCGGGCATCGTACTCTTAAAATGAACAATGTGATACGATACGGATTCTCTTATAATAAATATTGTGCCAACGTTTATATGAGACGGTCTGCGCTATTTTTGGCCTAATGGTCGAAATTTAATCATAATCTTTAAAAAAAATTGAGGAAACACATATAAATATAATTTACCTATGTATATGAAAAAAAGTGTCTCCGATTTTGTTTTTGGTTGATACCAAGTTGATACAAGAAACATAGTATTACGCAGTCAGAGACATACACACACGCAACTATTCTAAAGCATGTACATAATATATGCAATTCTCCGACTGCATATTACTATGTTCCTTCGTCAGCTTGTTCTCTTCTTTTCAGATCGCTTATTACGTAGTCGGTTTTTATTTTTATTTTAGTAAGAATTAATTTTACAGCTTTTTAGTTTTGGTCAGTTACACAATTTTTAGTTTTATTTAACAATTTCTTATCCTAAATTACTTTTAAACATATTTTATATACTATTTATATACTTTTTATATTGTATATATTTTTGTAATCGCGTCTTAAAACCTGTTTATTGATACCCCACTCGATTGATTTAGAAGAAAACTTTTTTTCAAGACACTAATTGTTGCCTATGATTCGTCATTTTGAGTTTTTTAATAATATCTATACAGTCTTTGACACTTGCATTATCAAGACGAGTCGAACGATGTATGAATTATTAAAATCGGTCTAGCCGTTTAGTAATTATGATAGAATATACGGACATACATACATACTATAAAAAACAGTACATATACACACTATAAACTGCAGGAAATGAAGAAATACATATTATCATTTCATTATTATTGTCACTGGACTGTCAGTTTGTGAATAAAATCACGAGAAAATTTCCGCTAAAAATCGTGTTTGATGTTCACAACATATTTACCTAGAGAGGTAAACTAAATAAATAAACCTTGTTTCAAAGCAACGTTTATATTTACTCAATGGACATTTTCCTATAAAGTAAAAAACCAAATTAATTTTTCAATTTTATGTTTTTAAAATATATATCAGTTTGTTATATCTACTCTGATAATTAATATAAGAGCTGGACGAGAGAGCATTCTAATTCTAAATTCTAATCTCATTCTGCTGCTATACTTCGTATCTTGGGATGATTAACATTTTCAGAAGGAAAGGAAGGTGGTGGTGTTATTATAGCCGTACACAAATCACTAAATTCTTTTAGGAATTACTCATATGAAAGTCATTGTGAAGATCTATGGATAACTATAGATGTTAACTCTAAAAGAAAAATACATTTGTGTGCTCTGTATTTACCTCCTCCAGTTCAATTAGAACACTTTGAACATTTCAGAAAGAAGATAAGCACATTTATAAATGAATTAGATTCAGTCATGATAGTTGGTGATTTTAATATGAGTGGAATATCATGGGTAATGAACAATACAGATACACACAGTGTTCCTAATAATTATAATAATCAACTTGGCTATGCATTGATAGACTTTATGTCTTCAAATAACTTATTGCAATATAATACAGTTTATAATGATCACAATAAAATCCTTGATTTAGTATTAGCAAATTTCTCTGATCCAATTTCAGTAATTAGGTCGGAAGAGATATTATCTAAGGTAGATAAGTATCATCCTCAACTACTTATACAAATTAGAATTAGCTCTCTTAAGTTGTTATCATCAACAGTGAGTTCAAGATATAAATATTTTAAGGCTGATTATCAAAAAATTGAAGCATATCTGGTCAATGTAGATTGGGAGATTGAATTTACAAAATGTGAGACAGTGGACCAACAACTTCATAAATTCTATGAAATTATGTTTAAAGTTATAAAAGAATTTGTCCCAATTCAACAAAATTTTAAAAGAAAATATCCTATCTGGTTCAGTTTTTCTTTGATTAAAATTCTAAAGGAAAAAGAGAAACTTAGAATAAAAGCCAAAGTATTTAATAATGATCTTGATAGATATGAATACGAACTATTAAAAGAAAGAACCAAGAAAAAGATGAATACAGATTATTCTGCTTATATTGAGAATGTGCAATTTAATATATGTAAAAATTTTAAAAATTTCTGGTTTTATGTTAAAAATAAATATCGAAATAATGGCAGTATACCACAAAAAATGAAATTAGAAAGTCAAACTGCTGAGGATGGGGTGTCTATAGCGAATTTATTTGCAGACGACTTTGCTGCTATAATACTTCATCTTTTAAAAACTTAGAAAATTTAACTAAAATGAAAAATAATAATCATAATTGTTTAGGTTCTATTCATTTATCTGAAAAGTCTATTGAAACATCACTCAAAAAACTGAATGTAAATAAAGGTGCAGGGGAGGACGATATTCATCCAGTATTTTTTAAAAGGTGTGCTACAATTCTATGTAAGCCTTTATATATTATTTATAATAAATCTCTTCAAGACGGTGATTTTCCTAGAATTTGGAAAAAAGCAAAAGTAATACCAATACCAAAATCAGGTGATAAATCAAATGTAAAAAACTATCGTCCTATAAGTATACTTTGTGTTCTTGGTAAAGTATTCGAATCGCTATTATGTCCAATTTTGACATGGCATGTGAAGCAGATGATTACTGAACATCAACATGGATTTTTTCAAAATCGTTCCACTATAACTAACTTAGCTGTTTTTATGGAAAACACAATTGAAGCTCTTAGCTCAGGTAAAGAGGTCGATGTTGTCTATTGTGACTTTAAAAAAGCTTTCGACAAAGTAGATCACAATATACTTATTAAAAAGCTCCATGAAAATTTTGGAATTTTTGGGTCACTTTTGCAATGGTTTCAATCATATTTGAATGGAAGAACTATGACAGTGAATGTAAACGGACATAAATCATATGAATTCACTCCAACCTCAGGTGTACCCCAAGGATCTCATTTGGGACCAATACTATTTTTAACTTATGTTGACGATATCAAACATTATATTCTCAACTCTAATTTTGAATTTTATGCTGACGACTTAAAGCTATATAAAGTTGTTGACTCTGATATTAGTATGCAAGAACTTCAAGATGATATAGGAAGGTTATGTACTTGGTGCAAGGGTAATTTAATGGAACTGAATCCAGAAAAGTGCTTTCATATGAAGTTTTCAAGAAAAAAAGTTATTTTTAATACGACATATGATATCAATGGGTATAGACTAAATCAAGTGACAGAAATAGAAGATCTTGGTATAATTATGGATAAAGAATTGCGTTTCATCAGTCAAATTAATAGTGTAATAAGCAAAAGCCTAAGAATGCTAGGTTTTATTTATCGTAATACCAAAAAATTCAAATCAATACGTGCACTAAAAATTTTGTATTTTTGCCTTGTCCGCAGCAATATTGATTACTGTAGTCTGATTTGGTACCCTGATTATTAACATAACATTCAACGAATAGAAAAAATACAAAAAAAGTTTTTAAAAAGACTTGTTTATACCAGTCGCCACAATTTTATAGATACTAGATACGAAGAAAAACTTGAACACTTTAACTTGAAAACTTTACGCCAAAGATGCGACTTTTTGCGACTCATGTTTGTTTTTAAATTAGTGAATAATTACATAGAATGTCCGTCACTACTATCGCTAGTAAATATACAAACACCAAGATCTGCAGCAAGAGCTATTAACTATAAACCACTACATATCCCACAACGAAAAAATAGATACGGTTCTAATTCACCACTCTTACGAAGCTTTAAATTATATAATTTTATATTTCAGCAATGTGATATAGATATTTTTTCGGATAGTTTAAATTTATTCAAAAAGAAAGTGTATTTAAATATTTAGATTAGTTTTTTTTTCTTCTTTTGTTTATTGTACACATAAAATTTTAATGGAATAATTCTATAAAAAGATGTGCATACTTTTAAAATAAATTTATATACAAATAGGTAAAATTATAATGTTGAATAAATAAATGTTTTTATATAAATTTAGTTAGTAAGCCTTTGTAATAAATAAATAAATAAATAAAAATTAGAAGGCTTGGTAGTATAGTTAGTAATTAGTCGGGTTTTTTTTTTTAACCACCAGATCATCAGCATCTCTATGGATAGTCAACGACGAAAATTGATTGTTTTGTTTGATAATACAACAAGAGGCGGAGCAACGACCTGGGAGCCGGTTGAGGTTAGAGATTAATCTAAGGCTAGAAATAGGATTTTTGTGCCGTGGTGACATCATCATCCTACCAGCTGACTGGTGCTCAAACATTTCCAGACTGCCGGTCTTGTTCCATCCTCAGTGGGTTCCAGCAACTTTGGCAAAGTCGTCGGTCCATGTTGTAAGAGACCTGTTACGTTTCACCTTCCGCTATGCAACTGCCACTCAAGAACTTTTCGTCCCTAACGACCACGGCCATTCAGCGAGCGATGTGTTATTAAATTTTTTGGCATGCCAAAATATTTAATAGTCACTACATTTAGAAAAATGTGTGTGTCACTACACATACATAAAATCAACATATCTATATAAATAAAAATGAATTGCCAAATGTATATAAACAAACTATTTCATAACGGCTGCACTTATTTGGCTAATTCTTTTTTTATTTTGTTTTTGCAATTATCAGGACAAGGTTTGGGTGAAAGAAATATTTAAAAAATTGTACTGCAAAGTGAAAAATTAGGTTAAAAATAAAACTGTGAGTTGAGATTGACATTCAGTTGCTCAGTTTCTTCATCATGACAACAAAAAAAGAAATTGACAGTTTTGTCAAAATGTAAGATAATTATATTTATTTAAAATTTATTTAAAATTTATCTATATACTTTAATATTATCTTTATAATATTTAAAGTATGAATTTGTGAGGTTGTAGGGGGTAATCTCTGGATCCACTGAACTGATTTAGAGTTAAGGTAAGAAGATGGTTTGAGACCATATGAAGGACATATAATATTTTATCTCTTAAGGGGGTGAAAATGGGGATGAAAGTTTGTATTGGGAACAAGCTAAGGACGAACCCAAGCGAAGCGAGGGTGGGTCACTAGTTTGTAATATTTGTATACTAATAATTTATTGTCACCTTTTTCAAGTGCAATATAATATTTCTTACTCTACCTACTGCAACATCTTACTGTGATTTTTCTGAAATTGTGCCACATACGTATATAATGATAATATATGAGGATTAAAATCTGACAGATTGATAGATCCATTCCGTCCTTTCGTCCAAAACCTATAAATTAAAAATTAGCCTCTAATAATCATTTATTATTTTTCGCTAACAGTTTAATTATCTCTCTAAAAAATTTTGAAATTGAAAAAAAAAATTATTTAATTGTAACAAAATATTTGCAGCGAAGTGCAGTTTAAAAGCAGTAGTTAATCATTTCAAATTTGAACAGTTAACGCTTGAACGGTCGCGGATACGGCGGCATGTCAGTTAACAATTGATTTTCCGGAAACTAACCATGGAGTCGGAGCTATAACTTTCTTTAAACTATTGCTATATAAGCTATAGCCACATCCATAACCAATAAAAATGTATTCAATTTTATCTGCAAAAATAATTCCGAACCTTTATAATATATTTATTCCCGATTAGCGAACCGGCCAGGCTTCGCCCCGGTATGTATTGAGACCACATACGAAATACTTACCTAGCCCTGTTTAGGTCAGACTTATGATTTTCAAATATCGCATACGATTCGTGCACTATTCATACTTACGTACGTTGACGAATTGTGGCAAAAGGAAACCCTCACATGCTCGCACGAATAACTCACAAAAAGTTTTATCGCAATTATCTAAATGAAATCGAACATATTTTTTATAGGTATAGAGTAGTAGAGTATAGAGTAGATAGTATAAAGATGTTATTAATGATTTTCAATTGAATGTTTTTTTCAATTGAAATAATCAATTTGTATAAATATAAAAGTTGTTTCCATAATGGTAACTACACATAGAACATGCCAGGTACCGCAATGCAGAAAGCTACGTAAGCATACCATAACCCGTCAAGTTACAACTCGCGATGCTTTACTTCTATGTACATACGAGTACATACATATGTTTTAGTCTGTTGCGGTACATGTCATTTCGATGCGGAAACTGTCTTAGAAACTTGATCCTTGGGATATAAAATAAAAGTTTCACACATTCTTTTAAGAAGTTAGGTTTGATATGTAAAGTTCTAAATAAAAATACCTATACAGTTTATATTAGACACGTTGTTTTGTTGTTTTGTTATATAATTAAGCATTAACATCGTTTGCTTTTAAGTAGTCCTCGAAATACATGTTATCTGTCTAGACACCAAGATATTGGATCGATTAGTTATTATTATTTATAATATTCTGAATTACATATTATAAAAGAAGCAGTCATTACGTATATACACTATCAATTGAATCAATTATATTATCTTCTTAATGTAAAAGTCTATCTAGTTACATAAAATTAAAATACATTGATATTATTTTTGTAAAGCAGCGCTTAATTTATTTAATACTAATAACAGAACACACCGCTTCGCTCGCGCTTAAACTACAAAAAATATATCTAAAAAGTTAGGTAGGTACCTAGGTTTCATACAAACTTTCATCCCCTATTTTACTCCTTATAGGATGAATTTCTAAAAATGCTAAAACACGTACTTATTTATTTGTGTTGAAGATCATTAATACAAAGTTTCATGTATTATAACGTATTTTCCCGTGGGAATGAGATGATCTCCCGCGATAAAAAGTAGCCTACGTCACTCTCCAGCTCTCCAACTATCTTCACACCAATCCGTCACTCCGTTTCGACGTGAAAGAAAGACAAATAAACAAATAAAAAAACAAGCAAACTTTCACATTTATAATATTAAGTATAGATTTAGTACTGTATTTATTAAAACTAGCATTACCCGCGGCTTCGCCCGCTTTCAAACGATTAGATCGCTACCAATCTTCACAGGATCACTGTTGGGCTAAACTGCCAAATTTTATCAAAATCGCTCCAACCGTTTTGGAGTCCATAGGGAACATACATATACTAATCGATTTTATGAAATTTATTATATAGATATAATATGTACAATTGTACATACATGTCTACCGTATATAACACCACAAATATTGTTTCTCTTCCGGCAGCAGTTAATTATTCGTCAATCAAATAATTAATATTATCAGTCAGTAGTAATAACAGTAATTTTTGTTTACTGAAATATTAATTTACTTGAAATATTAAATACATATTTACCTGCATATCGGAGCTCTATAATATTACATTTAATTAATGTTATAATGAGAGTAGCGACATCCATATAGGATATGATATCCATATAGCATATCCATAGGAAAGAGTCCTATTACTTTTCAAAGCAAAGTAGTCAATTAATTTATAAAAACAAATCGATGTTCATAAATGTATAAATTACCTACTTATTTTTGCCCGCAGTTTTACTTGTATAATGGTAAGTAATGGCGCGGTTAAATATATTTTCGTCTATATCTGTCCCCATTATGCAATCTATGTCATTGCCAAATTCATGTGTTCAACTATTTTCAACGTGACAAGAGTTAAGTTATCGGGACTTGGTTGTAATTAAACAACGTTTTTCGTCGATAGGACAAGTACAACTAACTATATGAACTTATTTTCTAAGGTTTTATACTAACATGAGTGCAGTAGTATAAGTGGGTTCCCATCAAAAAAAATAAGGACCCTTAAACTATTTATGCGTATTTGCTTGCTATCTGTTACAACTCAATTGTTTTACATGAACATTGTTTATAATTATAGATCCCTCTAAAAAGGATCTAAAAAGACATTACATTCAATTGTTTTACATTTATATTGTTTATAATACTCGTAATAGATCCTTTTAAGAAAGATCTAAAAAGGACGATACATTCAAAAGTATAAGATCCTTTCGAGAAAGATATCTAAATAGCCCACGTGTTGGGTTTCATAACTCAAGATAAACAGACAAAGTTATTTTAACATTTACAATATTAGTATAGATTACTGGTAATGAGCTCAATTTATATTTTTATTTTACAATTGAAGCTTAGTCTAGAATTATGTGCAATTCTAAAGCATTTTACCTTAACTAACCTTTAGTTACAGGCTAAACAGGTTATAAAATATTCGACAATTCCATGCCGGTCTAACTATAATTGACGGTTATAATAGGGTGGCAGTGAAGGAAAATGACGAGTTAAGGACTAAAGATGATTATAGGACATCTATGTAAAAGGGTAGATTTAAAAATAGAAATGAACCAGTAAAGTACGCTGACGGTGCTAAATTGGATCTGGTTTTTCGCCCTTGAGTGAATTTAAATTGGTTTAGTTCTTAACTAAATATACTGATAAAATTAAAATCAAAACCTCACAAATAAAATTTATTTAGAAGACTATAATAATCGTTATTGTTAGTAATAATTGATATATACGAAAACATGCAATTAAAGAATTTAATAAAAATATTCCAGTTAAAATGTATATTATTATAGCCGTTACATATGTATAATATTTTGATTATTTTAATACCACATCGATTGTAGCAAAGCACACTATTCACTTTTTATACAGGATGTCTGGTACATCGAACTCGCTTACTTGCGCGTCTACGAGTTGCTTACTTCTGAGCTTAATGACAGCGTGGCTAGGAACATTAGGATCCTCCATTTCGAACTCTATTAATCCTGTAAATCATAATCATCAATGGATGTTAACATGGCTGTGCTACAAATAATAGGTAACAAAATACATGTTAATAAATACTAAAGTTCGCCGAGTGGTCGAACTTCGACCATGATTATTATACATTTTTCTTAAAAAGGGATACAAAGTTTTTGCTTCATGTATTAACACATAATTCTCAATTTTACCACAGACTTTAACAATAAACAAAAGAGTATTTAAGCGTGTGTGTACCAAATACATGGTAGTGAGTGTAATGTTTTTTTTATTGATTTAATGTATTTTTATACATAATTTAAAAAAAAACACTCCTCTATATTTATTATATATGTATAAGTGTGGGAAATTTCATACTCCTCCGTCCGCGCAATTTTCGTAATATATAGATTATGTATATAAATAAATATTAATCAGGAGTTCCTGTTTCATTATTAAAGAATTACTGATGTAGTACTTGTATGCTCGGAGGGCAAGTAAAGCCGTTGCTTCGCACCTGATCTTTCCAATTATCTAGGATTTCATCCGACAAGGAAGAACAGAGACTATAGGTACTTATATTTGCGCACACACGACTGCCCGCTAATATTTTCCGCGAATCTAACATTTGCCTGAATTGTTCTGACCGACATAACCGAATAAATCATAATAATATTATTAATAAAAAATTAAATCTTAGTATATGTATTAATATTACTATATATTTTATTATATGTTTAAATACATATTTCAGATTTTTAAGCCTGTCGATATAAAGTAGACAATCAGCTGATATAATCTCTCTCCCATTGAAATTTCACTTCTAATCCATTGAGCCGTTACAGCGAGAAAAAGTAACAAGCACATTCGTTTATTTATTCCCACAGATTTAGGCATTATTAACGCTTCAACGGTCGCGAACATGCCGGCATGGCAGTTAACAATTGATTTCCCGGAAACTAACTACGTAGACGTTAAATAAATGAAATTTTACACAGAGGTATTCAAATATCCATAATTAAAAACAAAATTTAACCTTATAATTTCATCTCATCATACTCACCCACTTAAAACATTTACCCTGTACGTTTATAAACTTACTGCGCGCATAGCATGTAATTTATACCCATCGGTTATTATGAATACATAGAACTCAAAGCTTCTTCTTCGAACCTATTCGATCGATTGAAATGGAACTGCGTGCTTGATTTGATTATATTATAAATATTCTAAAAATTGTGTCGAAAATATTATTGTCAATTACTACTTTGTTTTATATTTTTATCCATTTTACGATCTGTGTATGATTCTTAAACAGACAGTTTAGATCCAGTACAGAGAATAATAATAAACATAACACAAGAGCTAAACTTATTTTTCTGATAAACGATATATGTCAAGTTTTAGTCTTGTATTCAGCCATTTATGACGTTTCACTGCTGGGCACGGGCCTCCCTTCAATACGAGGGGGATCCGACCATAGTCCACCACGCTGGCCAAGTGCGGGTTAGCGGACTTCATATGTGTTTCGAAAACTTGCTAGGTTTTCTCAAACACCTCAACCCATTCAAACCACTCAAACGAATAAACCTACTCAAAATTAGTTATTTAATGAGTAAGGAGCTTTGTTATTGAGATTAAAAAGACCCAGTTAAAGTAAAAATATCGTTTTAGTAAATTTCAAAGAGCTACATATTTTAGTTTATGCTTTATATTATATTTCTTACTAGTGCTTACCGGCCGCTCCCCGCGAGTTTATTTTTGTATGTATAATTGCTCCGCGCTCCCAAAACTCTGTCGGCCTGTCTGCCTGTCTTTTGACTATCTGCTTATTTGTTCACGTTATCGCAAAAACTACCCGGAGGATTTAAATCAAATTTTGTATAACTACATATGCATATTACGTAACCAGGCTAAAAATAGTGAATTTTTAATCCCGGAAGGTAAGAGGTTCCTCTCGGAAAGGAGAAAACAGGTACATAGTAATTATTTTTTGAATTTTGCGAAATCTCATCATTTTTAATATAGTTTCGTATGAGTAGTACTCGATAGTCTATTTATCATTTAGTTTGCCTTTTATCCCTGAGATTTTAAGCCTCGGGAAAAGGGAGGATAGTTCTAAAGAAATTCTTTTCATAAGTAGAATAGGTATGTAACCTCGATTTTGATATAAACTTGGCAAGATTATTAGTCAGTTGTTAAGTCATTATTTTAATGTATCTTTTATTCTGGAAATTATAATGGTTCCCAAGAAACGGGAAAATAAATTTATTACAATTATTTTCTTATTTTAGAAGCTGTTGCATTGATTTTGATACAAAATTATATAATAACTAATAAAAGTTAACTTTTAAATTTTTACGTTTTATAATTTTATAAAAATAACACTGCGGGACTAAAGTCTCGATATCAAAATAAACATGGAGGCTCTGATACATGTTATAATACACAAAATATATGGTGCGATTCGGCCGCTCAATATAGCAGCATCGTGCTCTACAGTTTTGTATAAATTCGTTTGTGATATTGCTTTGGAGATGATTGGATTGCTAAAATATAAACATTCAGTCCTATGTAATTTAGGGATGGATCGTCCATATGAATAAGTCATTTATTTACATTTAATGTAATCTGAAAACTATAAACAATGTCTGTGTATATTATAAAATAATTTTCACATTAAATAGTAATTTATAATTCAATAATTCTAGAAACTTCTATATATACCTACTATATTTGTAATTCTGTACATACTAGGAATTTTTTAAGAAGTTATTGGTAGTTGTATTTTGAGCATCACAAGGCACCAAAAATCCACAAAAAATAATAGAGACTAACACAATTAATTTAAAATTTTCGTAAGCTGACTGAACTAGATTTCATTATACAACAGAATGGCATTCATTTCTTCGTGCTTTTTTTATATTTTGAAAGTTTCTTTGTTTACTGATAGAGTCCCAGAGCCCCCAGATGCTACTTATTTTTTAAGTTAAATGTTTTTGGGTTCTGGAATCTTAAACTATGGATCACTTGTGTGAAAATCGGTTTTGATATGTTATTTAGTTTTATAATTTTCCATTTTCTCTCGAATTGCATAAGAATAATATAAGCATAATTCTTTTTACCGCAGAAGAAGAAACGTGTTTATTAGCAATATCAAGTTTGTAGTACCTTTAAGAGTAAATGAAGAGTGATTTATGTGAAAATTGTTACACGAGCTGAGAGAGGTCGAGAGAGAGTGTATTTAGAGCTGTAAATGGGATTTAAAAATATATTGGTAGCTATGAAACACAAAGGAAATTTCTCTTTGAAACTTAAATGACAGCGCTCTTTTAAAATGTATGATATGGCACTTGCCAAAGGTATAATAAGCGTTAAAGCCTCGGCGTCGGCGTTCAATCAAAGTGGACTTGGTGCCGTGTTGCACTATGTAGGTGTCAAGCGTTATCAAAGTGAACTTCGTTTCAAAGCTTTTTGTCAAAGCTACTTTACAAAGCAGACTTTGAGCGTGTGTGTCAAAGTTAATTAAAATCAGAGTAATATAGTAAAATTCGTATAAATACTGAAAACACGACGATTTCGTTTGCGTGGATCGACACTAGCAAAATGTAATCTATCTATAAGATAGATTACAAAAAGAGAGACTGATCTCTAAACCAGGTGAGAAGATGGTCTCTCCCGTGACCATGATTGCTGTAAAGCATTCGAAACGTCGGGAACCAAAAATCAAAATAAATTCGCGAAAAAATCCGAAAAGATAGTTTTTTTTAAATATGTATTGTTAATAAAAATATATAAGTGATTAATACTCAACTTATCTACTAATAGGATACTTTATCACAAAAAATAAAAAGGTCTTCGTGGAAAAGCAGAAAATAGTTCTATTAAAATTTTATTATTCTGCGAAAATGACTACATAGACCTTGATTTAACAGAATTTTCACAAAAAAAATTATCTCCTCTCTCGTTGGAACCTGAACACTTTCAAGAATAAAACGTACTGTATACAGGGTCATTTTTAATTTACTGAAAACCTTTTGGGAATATACTATTTACATCATAACAACATCTGTAAGAAAAAAAATTGTATATCTTAAATTTACAAAAATAAAAATATTTTTATTGCACCTCCTCAACGGTAATAGTCCAGCATTAGCAAAAGAAAGCGCGTGTCCGGTGGAGAGGGAGGGGTGAAGGGGTGTAGGAAGCCGCGCTTAGTCATTTAAACTTGGCCAGATGCTAGAACTTTAAAGTTTAGAAGGCGCAAAAAAATATTTTTATTTTTGTATGAACATAAAAATTTAAGAAATATTATTTTTTCTTGTTACAGATGTTGTTGTTATGATGTAAATAGTATGTTTCCAAAATGTTTTTAGTAAATTAAAAATGACCCTGTATGTTATCTTGAGAAAAAGTATTGTGAAATTTTAGTACACCAAAACACTGTGAATTTTAGTAAATTCGTTCTATGAAACGTGTTCACAAATTTCGAGAACGGCATTTTTTTTTGTATTTGATACCTTTAAAATTTACAGACACATGATATTTAAAAGGAAACTAATTCTTCCGGACAGGCAGTACCTACGCGAGACAACTTAGAAATCGATAGCTGAAATATTAGTTTCACTTACTGACAGACGTTTACTACCTCAGTCTTCTTGTGACTGCGAATAATTAAAAACGTACGAAACGATGGCTACAACAAATAAATGCAAAATGTTTTGTATCTGTACAAAAAAAAACTGTTTACGATCTGAAAATAGCTACCCCATATACATTGATTTATAAAACCCTAGATGCACAGTTCTTAATAAGAATCTCTCTTTAAAGAGTGGCACTGAAATGTGATGTTAAGTAAAAATAAAGAATAAAACACAAAACTCGTAAGTTGAAATTGTATAATGTATGGTATGGTATGGTATGGTATGTTCGGGCTGGTTTCCGCAACTCGACGACTATGCGCCTATTTTGCGTGTGTGGGAATTTAAATTCTCGTTACTCCTGCCATCCCAGCTCCTCCAGGAATTTCAGCAACTTCTTTGTCTTGCCGAAGATTTCCGGGATCTAGGAGATTTAAGATTTAGGAGTGCCAAGATGTTGAGCCCGGTACTCCGCTACACCTGGACAATACAAGATCACATGTGCAGCCGTTTCATCTGCCCCCATGCATGCCCTGCAAAGTGGACTGTCAGTTATACCTATATTAAATAGATGTTTATTATATGGTCCGTGGCCGGTTAAGGCCGCGGTTATTTGCCTAAGTTGAGGTCTGTTAAGTTTGATGATACGGTTCGACATTTTGACATCAATGTTTGGAAGAGATTCTTTCGCCTGTCTACAATCTACAACAATTGTATAATGTATAAACACAACGTCGAACTACGCACAACACATAGAGTTATTTTTTTTAAGAAATGTCCTTCGGGAGTCACGTGGAACAAAAGCTGGAATTGTACAATAAAAAATTTACCTGTTTTCATTTATAACGAATCATGATTCATTAATTAGTCAATTATTTCTTTGGGAGGAATAAATGCACTATTGAGTTTCATTGTTAAATTGAAATAATTTTATAATACATATATATATATATATAATATATTTAATGGTCAAAGCCTTTACAATAAATTTAATAAACGTTATTATTGATACTAGGTATTTTACGGCAATATTACCAAATTGCAATTTTTCTTTCAAACTAATTTCAGTATCACATCGACTCTATGTAGCTATTATTTTGTCTGACTCCCATCAGAGTCGTTAATCGTTATGTATGCAATGGCCATCGGCCCAAAACGTGACAAAACGCACATTATTTTCATAAGCGTAAGTTTGAATTTACGTTAATACAATAAAAACGATTGATTTTTGGGTTTTATTCTTTCATTTGACTTAACGTCACTTACGATACCACTTTTTTGAAGAGATATTTGTTAGGAACTGTGTACCTAGGGTTTTTATATATCAATGTTTTTGTAACGAAAAATTTAACATGTCGAACATCCGCTCATAGCTGCAGCTCAAACAATTCGAGATTATTGGAAAAGAGCGCATATATCTTGTATTACAAACAGATTGTAATTTCTATCAAGTAGTAATAAAATATGTAAATAAATATTAATTTAAATAATCGTTGTTCGAATTATAATACGTATAAAAATGGAAAACGAGGGTCATTCAGTACCATTACAGCGTACCGTCATCTTAAATGAAAGCTTAGCTTTGTTTTAAATGTATTTAAATAGGTACTTCGCGAAACATGAAATTCTCTCAACAATTATCTTGTCTATATCTTCTATACATATAATATAATTCTAAGCCTAATCTGTACATTAAATATTTTTTTGGAAAATCTTATTGAAATAGATACTTTTATCGATACAGAGGCCGAATCTATGGTTTTTAGAATTTTTGTCTGTCTGTGACCGCATCACAGAAAAACATTCAATTTTAATAAAATTGACTTTTGATGTCAACTGGCTATATTGGTCGACATATAGGACCCTTTTTACTGAGGGAAAATATCTCTTCTCTGATCTCCAACAAATCTACACTAAACATTAAAACGTAAGCAGGTAATGGCAAGTAATAAGTCGCTAGTAATTAATATTATTATACCTATTAACGAATGTTTTGTCGATGTTTGTTGTGTTGAGTGTGAATGAAATATGCTCTACATAAACATTAGCCTTTAAATTAATTTAAGTAAAATGCAAATTGCAATGCAATAAATCCTTTTTCTTTATGATTTTTTTACCAATTTAATCACTAATCACCGCAAATTAAATTTAATTTCTAGCAATTCAGGCAATGGTTGCCCAGCGGTAACTCACTCGCTTGAGAAACCGTGTGAAGTGGGTTCAAGTCCCGTGTCTCGCACCTCTGATATTTTCATATTCGAATATTTCCGACATAATTTCCTCATGTCTTACGATGTTATGGTGGAGGGAAACATTGTGAGGAAGTCTTTATATTTCAGAGAACCTAGCAAGTTTTCGCGAGACATGGGAAGTCCGCCAGCCCGCACTTGACCAGCGTGGTGGACTATGGTCTGATGCCCCTAGTATTTAAGGGATTCCCGTGCTCAACAGTGGGATATTACAAAAGACAAGACATAAATATCCAAAGAGTATTTTTGTTTAATTTTGCGCTCTAGATTTTTGGAGTTCAGTATAATACACGTGTCTGATTGACTAATATCTACAAGTTAAATGAAAATTAATATAACAGCGCATGTCGACAGAAACTAATTTGGATAGCTTGTTTTAAATAGTTTAAAACCAGCTTTAGTAAATTTTCACAGTATGAATGTTTGTAACATATACTTTATTATTAAAATTTTATTCCTAATTTCATCATTAATTGTCATCACTTTTATTTCTTTTCTTTGTTATTTATATATATACCTCTACGAACTACGAACATAATTCGAATATTTTCAAATAATGAACTCAAGATTAAGTTAATTTCTAATATTTTTTTGATTTCAGTTTAGTATTTTAAAAACTAATTAACTTCAAGTCTACATCAGAATTCCCATCAATTTCCCAAAGTCTAATTCAGACAAAACGTGTCCATGAACCTGCCTCTATATAAATTTCAATACGATAATTTTCAAAACAATACTTTTTATAATAATAATGGAAAAATGATGAATTTGATTTTCTTATATGTTTTAATAAATACCAGACTGACTATTGTACCAAATGTATCCAACCCAATATACATTATGTACTTCAAATGATCTCCACCTCTTATCTCTTCGTTTAGATAAAATTAATAGAAGAACGAAGAAAGTGTATGGTACTTCATAGAATTTAACTTAACTATTAAATACTCTTTTAACGACCAGACCAGGCAATACGTGTCTATATATTTACATGAAAATAATATTTATTTGGAATACTCGTCAAACGCATTTTACAAATATAACTAACCTCCTTCGGCCATTACTTCTTCTTTATAATTGTCTTTCATAGATCTGGCTAGTACGTTGTGATAAAAGAGTCGTGCATTAGCTTTGACTTCATCATCAACATCCATCTTTGACACAGCTTGAATGAGCATATTAATTTTCTGTCGTGCGTTCAGCAATAGCTTATCAACTGCAATAATATCATAAAATCAATAAATATTGTCTTTCAATTTGTACACTTATATACATATAGTATGATATCTGCCACAATAAAATGATTAAATAAGAGTACAATAATTACAAAATGTGGTTGGTACCTTGGTGTAACACACAACGTGCATATACATGTATGCTATGTACATACAATAAGTTACTATAATTTTATTTGAAATATAACTGTTCTATGTATAAATACATTATAATAAAATTGTACCTAAATCAGGTTCAATTTATAGTTTAGTTTTGTGTATGAATACTTCTGTATATTTAAATATTTTTGTATTTTATACTCCTTTAGCTTAGGAAGGTATAGGCTATGTGACATCACGTTACCCATAGGAGCGAAACAATTTTACATAACTGAACTACGCCAGCTGAAGCCGCGGGCAAAAGATAGTATGTTTATTGGCTGCTATGTACTAATATGTAATATTATAATGAAATTTTTTCACTGTATAGTTTGTGTTGAAATATTTAAGCTTATAGAATAGTTCGTATGGAAATAATTAGGCATATCTCCGTCAATCGAGTAAATACGGAGATATATATAATTTGAACCAGTATGATGTACAAATGTCCACAGTCCATATTCTATATAAATTAAATTGTAACATAGATTTCTACACTGGATGTTTTTAAAATTTGTTCACTTGAAAATGTCTATTTGGATAAAATAAAAATCGCTTCGTGGAATCGAATGTGAAAATACTAAAAATTAATCTCATAACAGTAGGTAGCTACTGTCACAATATAGGTTATTTTTTCATTTTTCCTAACAATAATTAATTCCTTTTAACGCATATCAAACGAGCGCACCTCACACACTTAGGTATTATAATATCTAATAATTATTACTATAACCTTTATAGCGTATTAAGGCTTAAAATAAAAATTAATGTTGGTAAGCGCATAACTCAAGAATGGCTGACCAATTCGGCTAATTTTTTTCCTATGTTCCTTAAGGTCCACGGAAGGAATAAAGAAAAAAAATGAAAAATTAACGAAACAAAATTTATATGGCTAACGCTGGCTAATAACTATTTATATCTATCTAAAACGTACATCGCGACGAACCCGAGCGAAGCGAGGGTGAGCCGCTAGTTAAGGCTTAAAATTAAAGGGTTTAAAGAAAGTTATTTATGTACAAGAGTGTACACTAGCTAAATGTATGTTTGTATGTTTTGTAGTGAAAATAGTGCATAACCGGTATAGCACTTCGATATTTCCAAGCTGCATGGAGTTTGTATTTCCGTTGACGAAAATTTTTGTGATATTTTTCTGCTGTTCATATTATTCTTAAAACGTTTTTGACGTAGGAAAAAATTTAGGAGAACGTTAGTTTTTAATTCGTAGACTATTACGATATTTTCATGTTTACTTTTATAAAATTCGTTCACTTTGTTTAATGATTTTTTATCTGACTGCATCGAAGTCTTAAGGAGGGTTATGTGTTTGAGCGTATGTTTGTCTGCATGTGTGTCCAGCCCTATGTTCCCCCGTAATTACTAAACAACTCAACCGATGTTGACGATCAAATTGGCGCATCCTAGGCACCAGGCGTAAAAAGCGAATTAAAAAGATGAGAACAAGTTCAAGAAGAAACGTAGTATTATGCAATCGGAGACACATGTCTTATACTAGATGCGAGTTTTGCTACGTGTATTGTATATTGTGGCCGCTTTTTACGCAGTCGGGCTTTTTTATTTTTGTAAGTTATTTTTTTTATTATCAAAAAGTAAATTAAAGATTTTTTTCATAATAAAATGACATTAATTATTTGTATTTCTTATATTTTTCTGATATACGAGTACCTATTTATCTTAACAAATTAAGTTATTTATGGTGTTTTACACCTACAAATTAAGTTATTAACTTATTTACGGTGTAACACTGCTGCCAATGGAACCAAAGAATTGAATTGAACGGTGTAATATTTGAATTTTTGTTATAAAAATATTAATATATACTTATTTCAGTAATAGTATATTCTAATACGAGTACACGGTTTCTACAGGCTATCGGAACAAGAAAGATATATCAAAATATAGAGGTCCTGTACTCATACACTGTAAAATTAGCTGACAAGGCCCAAATGTGTCTTATTCCGTAATCTTCTTCGATCGTTTGAATTTTACATAAAATAATAAACAAGTATCTAAGCAACCATAAAACGTAATATACTAAACATACTTTTGATAAAGTAAGAGAATCAAAATGGTATATTGAATATTGTTGAAAATCGGTTTGGAAATGTTTAAGTAAATATAACAGCGAACTCTACTTTTTCTTTTCTACCTATAATTTAAAATTTAAAATTTAACAATTATTATATACTCATTGGTTACTTTAATTTCTTACTATGTATATTTCCGGTAACGTATTAATATATTTCGAATCAAATACGTACTGTATTTGAACAAAACATCTTGCAACATCTAACTTTAATTAACAAGACTGTTTTCACTAAAATTGACTAAGAGGGCTTGCTTAAATACAATGCATAGATAGTGGAGTTTTACATACAATCAGCTTCTAGTTCAGGAACAGGTTGGAGTATATCGTCGAGTACATACTGAAGCGCCGATGGTGCGCCTGTTAAAGGTCTTTGCACATTGGGCGCACCTATTGAAATTTGAATATCAGTCTATTATACATCCATATATTGAACATTATATTATATATTTTGGCCTAATATACAATTTTCTTTTTTTTAAACTAAAAACTTGAATAAATATGGAAAAAAAACAAAAGTAAAAAGTTCGTATGCGACCAAGATTCGAACGTGGACACCTGTGATAGTTGATCTTGCACCTTAGCCGCTTGACCACGATGCTTATGCCCGAGCGTGCAAATTACCGATCATATTTTGCGTGGAATAATGCAAAAGAAAACTGCATGAAAACTCGAAAACATGAGACATAAGACTAATTAATGTAGATCGATTTTTCGCCCAGATCGATTTCATGAAAATCGTTGGCCGAGCCGTTTCCAAGATTCAGATTATATATATACAAAAATCGCTCGTTTAAAGATATGTGCATATATATATATATATATATATATATATTTAAGTATTTAAGTAACGAAATAATTAAATTGCTTTTATCTTTTTCGCATTTTTTTAAATTGCTCCCGAGCGAACCTGGGGCGAGTCGCTAGGTCGCTACGCTGTATTATTTGCATAATAAGTATCTTAAGTAATTAAATGTCGATAGGTATGGTATGAATTGCATTTCAGAATTTATACAAAATAATTTTCGAATTATTACCATGATTTTAAGCGGACTTGTACAAGCGGTATTGTACAATGCTTTGTATAGTCAGATTAAATAGCATTGTTTAATATTAAATTTTAGTGTATCTTTAGGACTGTAAAAGCGCTTAAAGGCTACTAGCATTGCCCGCGGCTCCACTCGCGTTCGGATGACCAAAAACCAAATTTTTAGGTTTTACATATTAGTATACACTAACATGCAGTTTTTGTATTATTTCTCAAAAATTAGATATTTTCCCGCGGTAAAAAGTCCTATATGTTGACCCAGATAACCAGCTATCACCATATTAAAGTCATTAAAATCCCTCCAGTGGTTTTTCTGTGATGCGGTAACAGACAGACAGACAAAAATTCTAAAAACCATAGATTCGGCTTCTGTATCGATAATAATGTTTATTTTAATAAGATCATCCAAAAAATAGCGCCGATCTGAGAGAAACGCCTTATAATAAACTAGCAACTCACCCTTGCTTCGCACGGGTTCGTCTCTAAGTTCTCGGATTTTGTGTACTATTATATATGCATGTAGGTACTATACATATAAACCTTCCTCTTGAATCACGCTATCTATTGCTGAAAACTGCATTAAAATCTGTTGAGTAGTTTAAAAGATCTAAGCGAACAGACAACGGAAGCGACTTCATTTTATACTATGTAATAGTTACGTTTAAATACAATATTCAGATAATAATAAATAGTTGGAAGGTAATTCGTACATATTGTTTCATTTGAACATGAAACTAGAATACTGTCGCTCAAAATAGCGTATATTAACTCACACAATTCACTTTAAATGGTCAAAGCGAATTTGCACAGTCTGAATGTAATCCTTTGATGGCTTTGTCGTTCGTGGAATTATTGAAGCACAGTTTGTGATACGCAAAATTGCATCCGTATGCTCTTCTTTTTGATTTCAATCGTTTCGATTTTACAACATTTCCGAATTTATCACTAGTAACAGTCAAAGCTTCTCTGTTGTTTATTTTTGTATACACATATACAAAGTTATAAAATAAACATATGTATTTGCTTAAGAATATATTTAAAATTTATATAAAAAGAATATTTTGCATAAAATTTAAAATAACTGCTTATTATGGATCGAGATCCCACTGCAACATTACTACGTTCATTGCGTATTTAATCGAAATCAATTTTTTATATACAATAATAAAAGGGACAATATGTTTTGACCGGGGTGCCTATTCAAATGTGCCCGCTAGTATGTTTAATTAACTAAATAATAGTTGACTTTTTGGAACAAAAACGATGCATTTGTTATTACAATGAATTATACTCCACTTCACAGAACTATACGTAGAGATCATGAAAAATGATAGCTGCCGTTGCGCATTTGGCCCAACATCTTTGCAGCCAGGTATAAGCGGGTCATATTTTGGTATGTTTATGCGTTCATAGCGTACATGCATCATTTATATATCAAATTAAAGCTAATTTTTTTCTGTGCATGATAAAATACCACTACCTATGTAATGGAAAGAAAATAAGGAAAGAATATAATATTATATGTCATTTGTCAGACAATAACAATGATTACCATGGCAACAAACAGATAACTAACGCGCTAACTCTCTTTCACTTTAATCTATCTATACCATGGTAATCTGCCTGCCATGGTAAAAAAATAAAGAGTATAATTCATTGTAATAACAAATGCATCGTTTTTATTCTAAAAAGTCAACTATTATTTAGTTAATTAAACATACTAGCAGGCACATTTGGGTAGGCACCTCGGTCAAAACATACTGTCCCTTTTATCATTGTATATAAAAAATTGATTTCGATTAAATCGCAATGAACGTAGCAATCTTGCAATGGGATCTGAGTCCATTAATCTATTATTTTAATTTTAAATTATTTAATCTTTGTTTGAACGCGCTAATCTCAGAAACTTAGTAGTTTCTTAGTAGTAATAATAATAAGTAGTAGTAGTAAATTAGTATTTGATTTGAGAAATTCTTTTCGCATTAGATAACCCATTTATTGAGGAAGGCTATAGGCTTATATACCATTATGCTACTACTCAAGGGAGCAGAGCAGTGATATAATATATAGTCTATCTATTCCATACTATACTATCAGTTAAAACGTACCTAGGGACGAACCCGAGCGAACCTAGTAGTAAATTATATAATAGAAAAGTAAGATTTCACGTATTATAATGCTCGTAAAGGAACGGTCAAATGCGAGTCAGACACGTTACGCACATGACACGACACAGGACGTTACAGGATTTTGCTATATTTATTATTTTAAATTAAATTTATATGAAAATAGCGAAATATTGTTGTGTAAAATTCATGTTTTATGTAAATTTAGTTAGTAAACCTTTATAATAAATAAAATTATAAAAGCTCTCGAAATCCAATGACAAGTCTTCCGCACTTACCTACGCTAGAAAGGAGTTGATTAATTTGTTGCAAAGAAGTTTTCATCTCGATTATAAGACGTCCTTTATCATCTAATAGCCGTGTCATACGATCCTCCTCTCTTTCCTCCGCTTCTAATTCGGCTCTAAGTTGCTTCTTTTCGTTAATGTATCTAATAGGATAAATGTTAATCAGATTATAATATTAGATGTAATATATTATGTAAATTGTCATATGAATACCTTAAGTAATTGGCGAACCAGCTAACTCCATATGAGCAAATTTTTCAGGAGACACTTAAAACTTTATAATGTTGTTTGTACACTACTTATTAAAAAATCTAAAATAGCGCTAGTAGATAATATCGTAAGCTGTTATTTTTCATACTGTAAAATATTACTTAAATAATCCTATTGAATTACAGTTGCGTACAATCTGAATAAAAATTAATTTTCGACGTAATGTGGAGTTGGCTGGTTTGCCAATTAAGGTATCGATATCTAAAATTCTAATAATGGTATATTGTCTGTCAAAATCGCGCTCGCTCAAATACGACGCTCATTTACTGTACTATTGTAGAGGGAATTTCATTATGTCATGCCTAATTTGCATATTCGTATATACACGGTGTATTGATCATTTGGATAAACAAGTAAACTTTTGTAAAATATTGCCGCGTAGTGGAGAGTGCGTAGCATCATTACACGAAAATAATAATTAAATTAAAGGTATGTCTTCTACGCTACAGATGTTTTATTACTTTGGGTTAGTAACAGTCAGTTATAGTACGGGAGCCAAAGAGGATATTTTTGGATTTACTCAAGCGCGGCAGATTACCAGAAGGTGGATACCTTGCACTCCGTTGAGTACCTCCGCCATATATAAGTCATCTACATAAGGTCTAATTAAGAAAGTGTTCTGAAGTGTATTTCTATAAGGATTCTTAAGTGTTAAAATCTCCTTCTCATAGCATTCTCACATTAAACTACTAAAGTATTATGCAAAATAAAAGATGGTTCAATGGAGATATTTTCATGTAGACTTTGCATTCTGCACTTGCAACTACGCAACAAATTTTATGTAGGTACGGTAAATTTTAAAATGATTTTGTTTTTAATAAAAATATAAAATGATTTACTTGGTAACAGTGTTTATATATTCCGACGTATATTTATTCGTGTTTATACGGCTTATGTACATTTATACTTTATAAATAAACATCTCAATTGATTAAATATAGTATAAACGGTTAGTTATAAAATATATAATTATAATAATTATAAATTATAATGTAAACATTTTATTGAGTACTAGCAACTCTCTGTCGCCTTACTCGGTTGCGTCCCTGCGGCCTGAGAGTTCCTGTTCCAGTCTCCAGGTCATAAGTGTACCTGTACACTAAACATTCAAAAAAGGCCAGTACTTCATTGTGAAGGAGTAACAAACATTAATAGACATGCACAGACTTTCGCATTAATAATAGTAGTTTGATCTTGACTGACTTGATGTACGAGTATATTGTATGTATATATTTGATATAAAATGCTTAAAACTTTTAAGCGTAGGTACATATATAATTTTAAGAAGGTACACATTTTATAACATGAACTCAAGGACACCTCTAATAAAAAGCTTTGTCGGAGCACAGATCATATTATAATACTTTAAACAAACCTTATAAATAAATCTCTGACTACTTACTAGTAGTTTAGTGTAATATAGTAGGTTTTTATCGTGACCACTTATATCTATAACCTTAAATGACTAATTATATCTTATACCTTAGATGACGACTACCTGATAAATAAATAAATAAATAAATAAATAAATAATTATAACTCTTAAGAATTATGTTATTATTACTACATTATTTTTATAATGACTCTTAGTTACTTATTTCCTTAATAAACTTTAAGAATAATAGTATTTTTTTTAAAAGAAGAGCACGGTAGAATCCCTCGGAAAAAAACAAGATATGCACCATACAACAATAAGAGGACACAATTGAGCTTAATGTGAAATGTTGTCAGATATGCAAGACAGATGCCGTGTGCACTGTGCAGTCTGCATGCATCCGCCATATTTCGTAATACATAGCACAACAGCTATAAAATGATGGACTCTGGTAGCTAAATAAGTTATAAAGGAAATGAAGTTCAAACAAAACAAAACATTATAATCTAATACTTTCTTAGATTTACGCGAATATTTCTTCGGATTTTTAGTGGGTTTATTTAGATTTTTGGTTACCAAAGTACCTTACAATATTTGTTAATGTTAATAAGTTGTATAATTAAATATGATCTTGACTATGTTAACAGATATTATAATATATATATATATATATATATATAACTAGCGGCTCACCCTCGCTTCGCTCGGGTTCGCCTCTAGAAAAATACTAATATACTAATAGAGATCTATTAGTTCCCACGGGAACCGTTCATTTTTCTGGAATGAAAAGTAACCTGATGTTTGACCGGCAATATAAGGTATCAGAATGTTAAATTTTACTACATTAGGTGCATAAGTTGTTGTGTACTAAGCTGTATAAGTTACTATAGTTCTTTAAGTATCCCCATGGGAACTCTTTAATTTTCCGAAATAAAAAGTATCTTACATGTTGACCGAGGATATAAGGTACTACCATGCAAAATTTCATTTAAAGCGGTCCAGTAGTTTAGGACATTAGCCCATACAAACAGACAGAGAAACAAAAAATAAAAAAAAAATATGGATTAGTTCTATATGTCTTCTTACGTCTCCCTGACTAGGTTTTTCGCATTTTTTGCTATGTACAGACATTCGACCTCTCCTCTTTTATTATAGTGCGCCTAACTTTTCGCAAAAATAGTTTAAAAACTTTTTTCCAAGGGGACTAAATTCTTTGAAGTGTAAGTGTTATTCGAATTTTTAAATTGATATTTGATACTGTAAAAAATATTTATGTATTTATATTTATTTATGTATTATTTGTACTACTCGCTTTAAAGGCGTCGCGCGCACACCTTATCGGCCTCTTGTATCCCTATTTTCAGCGTTAAATAAAAAAATATAAATAATGGAGGTAGAGTTCCGGGAGTCGGGACGTTTTATAGAAATTTTCCTCCTATTTAAGAATATTTTTGTAACTTTCTTAATCTATACTATAATATTATAAAGAGGCAGAATTTGTTTGTTTGTTTGAACGCGCTAATCTCTGTAACTACTAAATGATTTTAAAAATTATTTTTCCATTAGGTAGCCCATTTATTGGGGAAGGCTACGTATATATCATTTAATATATATAGTCTATCTGTTCCGTATTAACCGATAAAACGTACCTAGGTATGAACCCGAGCGAAGCGAGGGTGAATCGCTAGCTATTTATAGTTTTTGAATTATTAACGAAAAACTATAAATATCTTCTTTTTTCATCTTTATTTGTTTCTAACTTTTGCAGTTTTTTAAATACTGGAAAATGATTTAAACGTATTTTTCTTGTCGTCATTCTGGATCCAATGAGATATCTCACATATATATTTTTAGGAGCTTTCACATTAATTATTTATTATAAGTAGAGCTAAAACCGTAAATGTGTCGATAAATTTCAATTAAAAGTCAATTTAAAATATCATATATCATGTAAACAAAATCATATTGCATACATTATCAAACATCAGCTTAATATTAAAATACTTTTTATTCAATGTGTGCGATAAATGTTACATTCTATTTATAAAGAAACTTTAGTCAAACGTATTTTCTATTGTGAAACAAAGTTCTCCCGTGTAATAGTCGACTGTGTATTAGGTGTCCGCTTAGGAATTATACGTACGAACGAGTACATTAGTACGAGTTTTGTCTCTGATCAAAGTTCATAAATGTTGCAATGTTATTTTCTTACAAAGGTTTTTTATTATCCCATTAAAGTACACATAATTTCAAAACACATTTTGATTATAGTTCTGTTCTTAAAATAAGTATCGATAAATATAGGTACATATTTAATCAAAAGCTCTCGTACTTCCATGCACTATAAATGCTTAAACTATATTATGCAATATACTAAATTTACACAAATATTTCAGTTAGAAAACAAATTGTAATTTAAGTAAACACTTCAATACTATAGTGATATTATATTTGAGCAGAAGTGTTATTAAATAATTGAAAATACGAGTATATACATTGACAAAAATAATAACATTAAAAGAAAATGAAACCGAAAAAAGTAATCTTTAATAGATTACTTTCTTCTTATTACTTGATAAAATAGTACTTAAAAAAAGTACCTACATATTATATTGCAGATATTATTAATTTCTCGACTTTTTCACGACTCTGTCGGTTTATCTAAATATCCCGTCCCGAGACCCTCAGGAAAAAGGATACCTAGTATAATTGATTCTGTTCTATCCCCCCATTTAAAATATGAAGCTAATGTTGAAAGTAAGGTTGTGATGGACCGGCCGATTCTTGAGTATGAGAGTCAGAAATGGATGAAAGACTTTCAAATGGGTGCTGATCGGATGATGGTTGTGTCGTTGATTGAGATGTGGATGAATGGTATGTGGACGTTGATTGTGTGTTTGATTGCGCTGTGTGTTGTTGATGTGCTTGCGATGATTGTGTTACGAAGACGGTATCTCCAAGTACTTTACTAATTATGGTGGTAGAGTGTAATGCTGCTTGTTTTTGTAGTATGTGAATGTTAATGTTTGCATCTAATTTGTCACAATATCGCTTAAGGCTCTTCGTCACCGCACCAGTGGCTCCTACTACAATCGGGATGGTTGTGACGGTGGTGTTCCATAACCTGGAGAGTTCGACTTTTAGCGGGTGTTATATTGCAGATATTATAATCAATAATATTATATTATATTATATTATAGGAGCGTTATTGAAATAGGCTTTTGTGTTGAATTTTATAAATCCACACAAAAGCGTACATATTTTATAAAAGTCATAATATTTAAATTAAAAAGACATACATTGCCTATACATGTATGTTTTATATTTTGTAAAGGCTCACAAAATGTATAAAAAAATTTAGCCGTTGCACGTGTCATCGGTAGGTATTCACTGTGCATTTGAATACTATTTCGTCATTTCTTTTATTTCAAAGAACAGTGTGGCAAATGCAATTGCAAAAATGAAACCAATATTGCTGAAGGCTCTTTTTAATGCGTTCGAACACTGAACCGTCATACGCTGGTCACAATAGGATTATACAACATCGATCTTTCATCTCTCCGATTAATAAACAAAAAGAACAATTGATTGATTTTGGGCACTTACTTTAACGTAAGCTTTTAACTTTTATAAATCTATAAAGTGCATTTACAACTACTACCTAACCTATTTTATCATAGATATAGAAAGTATCCACTAAAGCTCAAGGTTACCCTTGTCGCGTTTACACAGAAATCGAATCACATTCGTATACTATCATTATGCTTAACAATGGACTTACTAAAGTAGTAGTAGAGAGAGTATATTTCTATCTTATTGCTATCTGAGTCACGCAGAGCGACTTAAATCTAGTGATGGAACGATTGTTATCACTCAGTGATTACGACTACGATTATTGCGCTTAATGATCGACGATTTCGATTTTTTTTTAATTTTGTTTTCTAATAAAACAAACTATTATCGAGAAAAGAATATAGTATTAAACATACCATAAACTAAATTAAATATTATTTGCTGAAGAAGATTTGAAGAAGAAAACATAACATTTTAAGCTTGTAGGGCGTCAATCTGTTCCTTTTTTCAGTTTAAATCAATCCAGCAGTGGAAAATAACCTCTCCGATGCTACTAAGGACAATGGTTTGATTGAAAAAAATTTTTTTTGCTATTTCTTTTAAAAGGGCATAATATGTTAATTCTTTCCAAAACTGAACACACGCATGAACAAAAGATGTAAATTATGACCATTTTAAAAGTATGCTACATTAAAAATTGAAATAAATTTCTTTGAAAATGTAAGACATAAATAATCGCTAGATAATCGCAATGATGATATTCGCCGATTACGATTAATCGTGAAATGTCCATAATCGTCGATTACGATTAATCGTAATCGTTTCATCACTACTTAAATCCTGGCGGTGTGCTTAGTTTTCCCAGGCCCCTAATGTGGTGGTGCGCAGCAAGGTGATATTAAGCTGCTTTTCGATAAAACAACTTTACTTTCAGCTGTTACATTGCTTAATGTGCTTATTGCCTCGGAAAATCGGAAATATATATATATATATAGATTAATGTTCGTATGTTTCTCCTCTATGCGGTCCTCAGGCATTCATCCGATTGTGATTAAAATCTTGTACGTTATTCTGTATAAGGGCTTATATACTTGTATTTGTGTGTGACTTATGCTGTATAGGCCTAAGGTTCCTGGCACAAAAAAAATAACGTTTGTCCTTCTATACGTTCCTAAATAATTCAATCTTGGACGCGCCCGAGTGAAGCTAAGCTAAATCGCTAGTAGTACCTACTTCATAAAATATGAAATAATTATAAATAATGAAAATCTATACATATAATAAAACTGTAGAGGTCGAATGTCTGTACATAGAAAAAAATGTAAAAATCGAGTCAGTGGGATGTAAGAAGAGAAATAGAACAAATCCAGATTTTTTTCAATTTTTTTGTTTCTCCGTCTGTTTGTCTGTTTGTACGGGCTAATCTCCGAAACTAGTGGACCGATTTAAATGAAATTTTGCATGGTGGTACCTTATATCCCCGGTCAACATTTTAGGTGCTTTTTATGTCGGAAAATTAAACAACAACAACTTATGCACCTAATTTAGTAAAATTTGGCATGCTGATACCTAATATTACCGGTCAAACAACAGGTTACTTACTTATCATCCCGGAAAAATAAAGATCTATTTGTGCTATTAGTAATTGGAGTATCAAATTAATTATTAACAAAGATTTTTTTAAACTTCTTAATTTTATTTTACAACTTTCACTTTGATGTGACTGATTTTTGTTTAGTAAAGCGGCTTTATCTTCATATTGCTCTTTAACGTCAGTATATTATGTATCAATTATAGGTATTGTAGCTATCATTTAATCGCGTGTAGTTGTTGCTTACAAGGGGCATTACAATATTCATTAGGTACATTCTTGGTAACTCCACTAGAACGGCATAGCAAACAACTTTGTGTCGAGTATTCGATTTGATCTTCGCTGTATGGAATGTGCATTGTGAATTCCACATGACTGTAGCATAACTTCAGTGCTTCAATCGATTTCATTAGACGTTCATAAACATTAATCCTTATTGCGTTCTTGAGCTAATATAAGGTTTTGATGTAAAACATATGACGTTTTATATAAAAAATATAATTTCTATTTCGATTTGAAACAATTTATGATTATTGCTTGGCTTTGCGGGTATCGCTAACACATTTTTTGGTCTGTTGTTACACACTTTAATTTAAAACATAAGAGAGATGTTAAAAAATAAACTTCATCTCATGTAAATGCTAGACAAACACCGTGTTTATTTTAATAAAGAACACAGCTACGTTGATTAAAAAGAATTCGTGAGTCATTTCTGTCAACAAAGATTACATTTCGGATCCCGTAAAAACTCTTTCTTTATTATAAAAGTATCTTAAATATTAACTTGAGTATTAAATAAATAACAGTTATGCCATTTTATAATAACAACCATACCACAAGTCTAAGAAATTTACTTAATGTAATGTGTGTCTTATTGTTGAATGATACATACATATAATATACTAGTTTTCTCCCAGGGCTCGTAATTCTATCATAATATAATATAACTATTTCACTCACTCACTTTTTATATTAATAATATAAGATTTTAAAAAAACTTATTTTAGTAAAATTATTTTTTTTTTCTTTGAATTTTCATTTATACAAAGCTTGTCCTGACAATAACAAACGCAAAGAAAAATTAACCAATTTGGTGCAGTCGATCGGAAGTTATGCGCGTACATACATTTCGGTGATTCTTTTTTATTTATATAGAAGACTTATTCTCTAATAAATTGAAGTCCAAAACGTAAAAAGTAAAAACATCAAATTAAAAATATACATAATAGTAGGAATAAAAAGAACATAAACAAAATCACAGGAGTTCTTACACGATATCCTGTCACCTGCTTTGAACAGACGACTTTTTCCTTTGATCAGGCACGATTGAAGTTACCTTAGGTTCATCTAACTTAGCGTCTATGCTTTTTACAAAAGGACAATAATATGATTTTAATTTAATTCCAGTCTTAAACTGCGCTCTTATTTATTCACTCTCGTATTTATCTGATTTTTCTCTTTTAAATTCTTAACGACATGAGGTTTTTGTTGTAAATACATTTCGATCTTCGTTCGAAGTGCTAGGTTAGTCTGGCATTTTTGCCGTTCTGTTGTCGAAGTGAGTATAATCGTATACACGTTAACTGCTTATCGATTTTCATTGTCATTACACATCGAACTAATGTGACCAAATTGTATTGCATTTAAAGCATTTAAGCCCCTTGTCTTTATTGGGCACTGTAAAGAATCATGACTCACTTCACCACAACTATAACATCGAATACGTCGAATATTTGTAGTTTGTCAATTCTTTTCGCTTCTTTCATTTTACAAACAACCGTTTCATATATTTTCAACTTCTCCTTTAATTCTTTATAATTTGTTACGCCGTACAATATCATATTATTTATTTCTTTATCTATAATTCCATCAATAATGTAAATACATTATTGATGGAAGCGTAGTATGGCTTTAATTTCTTCCATTTTTCCTCTTTGACCCAGTTCTTTCATTATGAACGTATAGCTGATGCAACTTTCATCCTGCCGTTTCTTTCTCGCGCTCATCGTTTCATGGATCGCTTTTGTATCCAATTCGTCCGGAAATTTAATTAATGCGGCCTTTAGTTCATCCCAACTTTTGAAAGGCCGCTCAGTTTTCAACCATAGCGCCGCCGTCCGGTGACCGATCTTCGTGCGACAAGAAGTTTTTGTGCCGGAGACTACTCGAAAATTTCCACATTTATCTCTACCTTATCGATCAAATTTTTAACGGAGTAGGCCTCGTCTTCACGACTAAAACTAGCAACTAATTCAGCCATCATCTGAAGCATGTGTGGTGGATGAGACCTAGCTTCACGATACTCTTCCGTTTCCATCTCACGTCGTTCACGTCTTTGCCTTGACATCGTCATATAAAATATCAAGATAAGTATATAAGACAACACTATGTTTTTCAATAGAATGAGTGTTTTTAATATTATCCCGGACGAGCACCCAATTTGTAGGATCCGGAGATACCAATGGAAGCGTTTATAGTACTCCAATAGCTATTTATTCTTTTTTATCAGATAACACAATGCTCACGCATCTCGTCGTGTCGTCATTATGACAAAAACATCCTTCTTTTCTTTTATTCATCTTTCATTCCATTCCATTCTTAAAATTGTATCATACGTCTCTTTTTTTTACTCTTAAAATATCATTTCACGCATACTCATCTCGCAAATCCCACATGTACATATGTTCGTAGATTTTTAACAAAATTAAAAAAAATCAATATTAGACCATTTTTATTACAAATTAATTATTGTACTCTCATAAAAATCAATTATAACTGCACGTATTGCCTTGAACATATTTATAAGTAACTAGGAAGTTAACTTCGCAATATATAACAGAAAAGTTGCATTGCATAGTGAATAAATTTTTCACCTTAAGCCCATGTAACGTTCAATAATATACACAACACAATTATACAATAATTCTTGTAGTAACGAAACGGCCACGCCACATATTTTGAATAAGTTGTAGAGTTTGTGAAGTTAGGGCGTGTAGAGTTAGAAGCTTGGCTCTATCTGTATGAGATCTGATAACTTTTTTATAGTGCGAGCCATATGCAACATTTTACATGAAAATATTTTTGGTGGGATGTCACTTTCCTATTACTTCTTTTTTGGACACTGTATTCTTTCGTAAAAAACGATGTCTTTTTATAAAACTGATTGATTGATACAACGAGAGTAATCCGTAAAATGTCTTAGTTTTTAAAGTTTTTATTAAAATAAAATATTATGTAGGTATGATTGGTACATTTCCAAATTATATTTCCAAAGCTATATTTCCAAAATTTTAAACAGATCATACCTACAATAGAGGTAACGATATCAATTCCTTTGAAAAAATCCTAATTTAAATATTGATTTATATGAGTAATTAAAAACAAATTAGGAAATTTCACTGTAATCATATTTTGTATAAAAATGTTTGCAACGTCAACTCAAACTTGTTTAATTCATGTAAATAGCTCCATAAATCTTGATATGCGCATTTCATTCTGTAGCATTATTCAAATGTGAAACATTTAGACGCAGAAAATGGGTGTACCATGGCACAACTCTATTACAAAATATAGAATTAGGACGTGAATGATGTGGGACGAGAGTGTAAACGTATGTAATAAATTGAAAACTTACGCATTGTGTTGCACAGAGATTACTGATTATTATAAAATAATATTATTTTATCACTTTTTTTTTAATATAAATAAAAAAGAATATTCGTATCTTCTATGCGTTCTAAGCCAATTATTTTCTGCGAAGTGTCCGGGCACAAAAAAACTTTTCTTTGGACGTATGTCTTTTATGCTTCCTAAACCATTCAAGCTTAGGGATGCACCTGAGCGAAACAAGAGTAAGTCGTTAGTATTATATAAAAATGTTAATCCAGGTGCTCCGCTATAATAGTTCTTCATGATATTTCATTAGTTTTTATTTATAATATTTTTTCTATGGTGTACTTATAAGTGTATACATATATATGTATGTACATTATAACGATGTATTTGATGTTGATTTGAATTGAAAACCCCTTTCATTCAAGAGAATATTTTATGTTGTGAGAACTAAACAAAAGAACGGAATGTCTACCTGAAATATGTTGTAGGTATTTAACATTCCCTTTAGCATAATTTTATGACCATCAGAGAAAGGTTTTAATATACATTTCCTTACAAAAGACTACGGTTTTGCTGACACTCGTTACTAAAAGTAGGAAACAATCTGAGGTAAGTCCAGTCTACTAAGAACTTAAATTATTTCAGCTTAAAAACGCGTGTGACTTATCTATTTACCTCTGTATCTTTTGTGAAGCATGATCGAATTCTTAAAAAAATATTATATGTCCAAAAAAATCCTGTACCTACTGTATATTTTCATGCCACATTGTTTTAGTATTTATAATTAATCTGATATAATAATACGTTTTTGTTAATATAAAACATTTTAAGTAATATATTTCCGTGTAATAGAAATTGTTGCTATGTTAAAACTTCTCAAACGTTTAGTGCTTTCGGATGGACAGTTATAAATTATACCTACGAGTATGTTGCTACGCGTAGAGTTCGTTCATTTGGTAGTTTGATGCCATCGCAAACTTTTCTGTAGACCTATGTAAGATACACAATTCCACCATACATTATTTTGTTATATCTCAAAGGATTTAAGCAGCGTTTTCGTTGAAAGCTCCTAGACGGCTTATTTTTTTCCGACACCTCCAACAAATATCACCATATTTTAGACAACGTATACAAAAACTTAACTAATTATATGTTTAAACTTTTCTCGAGAACACTCTATCCATTGGTGAAAACAGCATGAAAATCGGTGCAGTAGTTTTTGAGTTTATCGCGAACAGACAGACAGACGCGGCGGAGGACTTTGTTTTATAATAATATATTACTATGTAGTGATGACAATGATCAAGGCAAAGTAAGTTTACTCAATAATAAGAGAATTTTTACAAAGAATATTATTTATAGAGAAGTTTTACGTTATAATTGATTTAAATTCCATTGAAATTACATATTAAATTTTTAAGTGCTTCAATCATTCATTTATTTTGAGAATAGCATACATAAAATTAAATTGGTATTAATAATCCCACCAAAAACATTTTTATGTAAAATGTTGCCAAGACGAGACCATATGGCTCGCATTGTCAAAAAGTTATCAGATCTCATATAGATAGAGCTAAGCTTCTAGCTCTACACGCCCTAACTCTATAAGCCTTAACTTCACAAACTTTACACCTTGTTCAAAATATGTAGCTTGGCCGTTTCGCTACCGTTACATGGGCGTAAGGTGAAAATTTTATTCACTGTGCAATGTGCATTACTTTTCTGTTATATCATAGTTCTTGTAAAACTGATGAAAAATACTAATGTACCAACTTATAACCCCCACAACCCCCGAACCTATCGCTCAAAATGATGAACCTTTTTACCAAACAATATGTGAACGATATAGAATAATTTGGATTTGGAGGGAAACTTTTACTTTTGATGTTAAGGTCAGGCTGTTTTTTTAGACTAATTGCACTGTACTACCTCTGTAACTCTGGAACCGTTCAGTTTAGCAAGATTATGCATGAGATCATTTTTGTTCACAATTTATTGTAGATTATTTTTGTATATGGCACTTGTAGAATTGTAATAATTATTATAATAACAAGTCAAATTAAATAAATAATATTCCATATTCAATTATAAAACTAATTAAAATTATATAAAAATGTTTAAAGCTTAAAGTTAAAAAATATTGTAAGGTACTTTGGTACCATTTTTCAATTTTATGAATTAATTTTATTATTCGTGGGTAGGCTGTCTGTAACAACTATATAATACCTTAGAGACATCTAACACCTCAGTCTCTCCCGTGACCATGATTGCTGTAAAGCATTCAAAACGTCGGGAACCAAAAATCAAAATAAATTTGCGAAAAAATCCGAAAAGATAGTTTTATTTAAAATGTCAAGTATTCGCGTAAATCTAAGAAAGTATTCTTTTATTTTTAATTAAAAATACATATAATACAAATTAAAATTAAAATTATAATTTATGGCTGAAATTTCCTCTTTACATATCATATGCTTGATTGACTCTTTATATTGCAATAAATACATATAAATGTTGGACGTATTCCGACACTTTGATTTGGTCAAAGCATGTCATTTCTGTTTAAAATAGGATGTAATGAAAAACCGAAAATTGAATCCGTTTCAGTCTTATTTCCTCACATGCTGCCTGCCATGTTTGCCCTCAAGTGCTGACTAAATCTCTATCCTTTGACAAGCTTTTGTACTATTTGTTTTCAATTGAATTGTAAGCTTTAGTTTCAAGTAAGAGAATGCAGTAGTAAATGAAGTAGGAAAATTAACCCATTTAGACCTGAAACTATTAGTTTCTAAAAATACTTAAAATTATGAATTAATCACATTTATAGGACCTCTCCAAGTATGAAAAAAATACTTATAAAAATATTATTATATTGGGGGGCCAGGAATCAGCCATATCGTATGTGATACAGTAGGCTTATAAGGGAACAAAAAAGAATAATCGAGTGATAAATACTTCACTACTGTGAACATTACTTAACTGTCTATAAATAGAAAAACCTAAAGTTAAATCCTATAAATAATACAAAAATATTATTATATGCTATTTATTGGTATGATATGCCACAAAACATTTCACATGTAATCCAACATCGCTCTTGATGCACCTTGCTGGGCTGACTTTATGGCATATTCCACATCGAGTGCGTTTGCCGGTTGTCTGTTTGATTACTAAGTGTCCTTTGTTATCCAATCTTGAATCGAGCATCATAGAAGAAGGCCGTCTTGGACCTGATTTTTATTTAGCCTTTTGATGTAGCACCAAACCAAAGTTTGAATCCATATCTTATCAGTTTATCGCGTATAAATTGTTTACAACCATGTCGCCCGAAATATGGCACTATCACCTCATCAACACTGTGATTCTTCTTCCAACTTGTTAACATTGGAAGTGGACTGTCTTGATAAAGCATTAGCAATAAGTTCATTTCTTGTGTCAGGTGCATTTTCCCAGTACATCCTTCGTCTATTGATTTGACAATACCCACTTACTAATAAAATACCTATAGCACATTTCATTTCTTATATTTTGATATCAGCGGATAAATTCTTTCTAGTTAAATATTTATTTGTTTCGGTGGCGAACAATTCAAAAATCTCATGCATAAAAAATAAAGAAAACCATTCAAGAGGAGTTCTTTCCTGAGGCACGTGAAGTATTGGTTTCCAGGCTGAAATGACTTCATTACAGTCCTGTTGCCTCCAATTATACTTTTTAATTATTTTACGGAGTGGCTCGCTTGTCTCTGCTCCTTCATCACATTCGTTAACATTTGATTGCTGAAGTTCAGTATTTGCTCTAATTGTATGTAAACTTGGAGGTGAATTACTGATATGAACGTTATCCTCATCCCCTGAGTCCTCGGCAATCAACTCTGTATGAGCATTTGCTGGTGGAAATAAAAATATATCATATTCACTTTGTAAATTTTGTTCATCTTCCTCCTCTAACAAGGTAATAATATCATTCAAAGACAAATGCCCAAAACAAGAAAGAGAACAATTAGTTTTGTATAGACCTACCGTATCACATGCGATACGCCACATTATCAGTCAAATAAACACATAAAAATTTAAAAAAAAATCAACAAATGACCTTTATACATATTCTATGATACATAAACTATCTATAAATAGACAGAATAGTAAATTGTTTTATTTTTAATTATAAAGTTTAACTGCTTGAATACATCTCGGAAACAAATATAAATAATCACTGACAAAACTACATACTTATGCAACTTACAAAAATGGTAATAGCAATGAAAGTATTTTATCTGGGTTACTTATACCTTGCGTTTAACCTGTAGACTAAATGTAAACAAAAAAGTTAAGAGTGCTTCAGAATAACTTATTAGTATTTTATCTGGGTTACTTATTTATACCTTGCGTTTGACCTGTAGACTAAACATAAACAAAAAAAGTTAAGAGTGCTTAAGAATAACTTATTACTTTTGATGTATCACATGTGTTACGGTAGGTCTAAATGGGTTAAGTTCTATACCTAATTACAATGATAGTTGAAATCCTTGCTATATATTTGTTTAATTTTGATTTAATTAAATAAAAATTTAGATAGGTACATGTCACATGTTGAGACATCCCCAGTCCAGACTCCAATAATAATTAAAAACATTGAGGGGGCTCGCTAAGTTAAGGAGAGTTCTTATTTGATACAGTTTGGTGTCCTAATTAATAATCCGGTTTTCGACCTAGAGCAACCACCAGTTGCCATATTGAAAAATTAGTATCAAAAACCAGTTTTTGATAATATATTCTCACCGATGCCATCAAGGTTAAAAATAGCTATCACAAAAATTATAGAGGATAAAAATTTTTGCCCCTTATAAAATATTTTTTTAATTAAATAGTTGACGCTGTGCTGTAGCCACCAACAGCAGCTACAGCACAGCTTACCAACACTAAGGATGATATTGTGATATTGACATTATGACACATGAGAAAATAGAACGAAAAGGTTAAGAGGGCACCGAGCTTTTTATTTTAGTAGGACGACAGCGGGCGGGGGCAGGGGGGTGGTTAAGATGGACGGTACTCGTGCGAATTTAGCAAATACACAGTTTGAAAGTGTAAAGTGTATACGTTATAGAAAACGTATTGTTTTGTTATTATTAAAAAACTGATGAACTTCCTTGAATTATTTACGCCGCACTAAGGGGTTTATTTTGTTTTTTAGAGATTATTTTGGTTTTTTTTTTCTATCAAGAAAACTACTAGTAATCGTGTTTCTAAAGTGTAATCCTACATATTATTTGCATATTTAAAGTTTTAGTAATAACAATACAGAAAGGGATCAAACGAACGCAATTATTTCGTAATTGCCTCGGTGCTCCCTTAAAATCTATCTTTTAACCTGTCACTTAAAATTATACCTACTTAGTCATGTTTTAATTTATTAAGGAATTTAGAAGATACAGTTTAAGGGAGGTTTATATATTTGACCTGTACGTATGTATGTAAATATGTATGAATGTGTGTGTATGTACGTATGTACATACGTATGCACGTATGTACTTGTACGTATTTACGTATGAACGTTTGTATGTATGTATGTATGTATGTATGTATGTATGTATGTATGTATGTCCGATCCTATGTTCCCTCGTAATTGTCGAATTTATAGATTAATACATTGTGAGATTTGTCTTGATAATGCAGTGCTATAGGCTGTATGGATATTACTAAAAATTGAAGTGGCGGATTTCAGGCGCCAATTGGTGTCTTGAGAAAATATTTTTTCCAAGCCTGTCAAGTGGGTATCAACATAAAGGCTTTTAAGAGGCGATCACAAAAATATATAAAACTTATATGTTTAATAATACTTTTAAGTCTAGAAAATGGTTAACTATAACTCCAAATGTATACAAGCGAAACTAAAAAAGCTATAAATAAAATAAAAATAAAACCCGGCTGCACAAAAGTCGAACTAAATAGAAGGGGCCATGATATATCTTCGACCGCATACCTATTACCATATTTTTTTTATGTTGGAAAATGTATTTACGCACGAGGTGTGGGACTCACCTGCAAAGCCAGTACTACCCACTAAAATCCAACAAAACCTTCCCGGCGGCAGGTCTGCTGACGCAGACCACAACAACCATGGGGTTGCTCAAGGGTCCACTTTGCTATCGGAGAAGTACCAGGAGCAACCCGCATGGTACACCGCCCACCGAAGAGGGCCATCTCCCACCGCCCACCGAAGTGGGCCACCTTCCTGTGCATTTCTTGGCTTCGCGCCCGGCTAGTTAAGGGGAAACTCTGAAGACAACCACCACCACGACAAGGAGAACGCACGTTGGGGGGGGGGGACCATTAACCGTCCTTAACTCATTTTATTTTACTTCATTTTTTTACGCAGTCAGTTTTTTATATAATGTACTAATTTAAGTTGTTTAAAAAGTCAGTTAAATATTGACCTCGTTGGTTGCATCACCTCCAAACACAAATGATTTAATGTACTACTTTGACCCGGTTTAAACGTTTTCACTTTAGTTTACAAAGTCTACAAATACGAGTATAAGCTGCGCATAACTTCAAGGAAGATACGTAATATGATATAAATCTTATTAATATAGGTATGTTACACGAACTGAGCGCACATAACTTAACGAAGTTCGCAAAGTCAATAGCTTGTATAAACCAAAGTAACCCTTATTTACAGCAGGGCGTAGCGGAGCATTTTGATGTAATTAATACAAGCTAACGATGTCTGTCCGTAACCGATAAAATTGAAGCGACATTTATATAGTAAATTTTATGGTTTCAGCTATATTAAAATATAGTAACAAACTGTTGCTATGTGATATTTCTCAATAAATAACACAATGCTTGGTTTATGGTACCTACCATAAATAAATAGGTTAAAAGGCTATTTCATCGTCTCAGTCGAAACACAACCCTGCTGGACTCCTATATCCTATATGCTATAGGCCTCCCCCAAAGATTTCCATGACTTTCATCCAATGGGTAAAAAGCTACTTTTACCAAGAGGGCACGTTAACGGATCAGGTTGTCGGACACCGCTTTTCGTATTTTATCAATCTTAATACAATATTTATTATCTATGTCAAGAGAATTGAAAAATAAGGTATAAGAGTATAACTAAAAATAAAATATATACTAATTAAGGTCATTGCTTACTGTGCAGTTCTCTCCTGTCCAACATTTTTTAGCGAATCAAGCATAAGTATTGCATGTTTACGATCCTCTATAAGTGCATCTCTCTTCATACTATTGAGGGTCAGCTGTGTCATTAAACGTTCCGTCTGATACCGTTGCTCCTTCAACCTGAGTCATGTCAAAAAAAGTTGTACATATTTTACTATGGTACTGTCCTTTACGTGTCCTAGTAAATTATCTCGATTATTTTTGCAAAAATAATATTAAATGTTGTTGAAATAGTATAACGATATGTTAAATAATATTAAATGCAATTCACTAAAATAAGAGGCTATTTATTAAGTATTTCAGCTATTTTACTAATAATACGACGACATGTACCTACTTATCCTGAATTACATTGAGTTATACACTTTTTAATTTGATATACACTGGAAAACATTAATTATTACCGGAAAATGCTTCATTAATGGTGTGTCAAAGCAGTAATATCCAATAACAAAGGGAGTTGTAATTATTTTAAATGTGAAACGAAAACGTAGCAGTGGCTGATTTAAATTATACATTCGCCAATCCACTAGACACATTAAACATGTGTTTTGAACAGATAATTTCAATTCATTCATAAGATAAAGAAAACCCCGTAAACACCTTTAACTAAACAGTAATTTATTTAAGTGACAAAAAAACTTTTTGTGTTGTAGCCATGTTAGTATTAGCAATGTAATGTAGGTTCAGTTGTTAGATATTTTTCATCTGCCTTAAATCGTATAATTATTTATTTTTTTATTATCTTAATATATAAAATTCCCGTGTCACGATGTTGGTCCGCGATGAACTTACGAATCTGCTCATCCGATTTTAATGTATTTTGTTTTTAATGTGTGATTTGTACCAGCTTCAAAAATAGGATAGTTTTCTCCCAATTATTTAATTTTTTTATTGTAAAATTAACGATTTTTATGTCCGGAGAGGGATTCCGGAGAGAGAACCTGAGAAACAGCTACCTTAAGCTAAATGTTCTACCCCCAAGCTAAAGAAAAAATATTTATAATTGTGCCACAGCAACGCGTGGCCTAATCTAATAATAATTTCATTATAGTTTATAAATAATATATTAATTTTCTCATATTATAAAAATAGCTATAGACTATAGGACGTAATAAACTTCTATAGTGAGTGCAAAACTCTGCAGAAATAGATTGTAATTAAAAGTCCATACTTTAATGAAATTTATTCAACAAATTTAATTTTCCATAAAAATATATTTAGGGGAGCTTGTAGGAGACGATCACATGGATTATAGCGGTTTATGAAGTCCTTCCGTCTTTTAATAATTCTTCCGTCAATTTTAATATTATAATATTGAAAAGTGTGAGCTGTTGTTGCGAACTGTTTAATATACAAAAACTTTAAGTAGATGTAATCCATACTACGTCAGGCACCTCATCATCACCGAATCATTTCTAACATAATTACCACTTGCCTTACGACGAAAGAAAAAACCTTAAGGAAACCTGCATGCCTGAGTAAATCTAGCAAGTTTTCAAAAGACATGAGAAGTCTGCCAACTCGCACTTGGCCAGCGTGGTAGACTATGGCCTGATCGCCCTCGTATTGAAGGGAGGCCCGTGCCCAGCAGTGGACGTTAAAAAGGGCTGATTACAATCAATACTACTATTATAAATGTGAACGTGTGTTTGTGATTTGTTATGTGAAGATAGTTGGAGGGCTGAGAAGTGACTTAAGCTACTTCTACTGCGGGAGATCATCTCATTTTCACGGAACACGTAATAACAAAACCCACAAAAACTCATCATACCTATGTATATATATAACAAGAAAAAATCTATCCCACGGGATCCATACATTTTTCCGGGATAAAAGTAGCCTATGTATTATTCCAGACTATAATCTATTTCTATGCTAAATTTAATCCAGATCCATTTCATCCAGCGTGCGTGCGTGCGTGCGTGCGTGCGTGTGTGCGTGCGGGTGGGCGAGCTGTCGTTCGTTTGTGTGTGTGTGTGTGTATTGTTGTAAGTTTAAAATGAATTTACCTGACCAGTATTTTATCAAATGAAGGAACTAATGTTGCTTTTTGAAGTCGCTTGCAGATTCTCATTACTTCTTCAACTTCCCAGTGCACGGAGTGTTGACTGACGGCATCCGGGTCTTCATACAAATCATCAAGATTTGTAGCTTCCTTTATTATTTTAGAACGTTATTGTTTTTATAAAAAAGATTATTTCATTATTTTATATTTTATACATTGATTAATATATTACATATATTGAGATAATATTATCGATTAAAATTTGCCAATATATTTCTTTAATTCCACGAGCTATTAAATACTGTACTGTAATTAAATGAACAGTTTATCGCATTGCTTACTCGCAAAAAAGGTTAGGTTAGGTTTTAAATGTGACCACCACAATGAATGACCAAAAACGAGCTTTTAAAAAGAATGCTTTAGAAGAATTCATATATTAAATGAAAAATTTATAAAGGCACTTAATTTTAATGACTTGGTTAGGCAAGTCATTAAACGATATTGAACCATGTCATTTGCTTAGCTGTTTAATGAAATGCCGGTATGTCATTTAGCCCCTAACTAAACAGCGCCGTTCAATGAAAAGGCTAGGCCGCTAATTAAACGGCTGATTAAGCTAGTTGGCTGCTATATATACGCGAATAAGTGGTCCGTTTACGTACTGGTATGGTATATTATAGAATAAACTAGTTAATTAGGTCACTACGAAGTGTGCGCGAGTATTTCCGAAGTACTCTTGTATAGTTTGGAAGATCTTAGTAAAAAAGTGATTTCCAATCTACAAGTACAGTTAGGTACTAAGTATAGTTCTTGTACAGAATGGAAAGACGCGTCAAGGCACGCTTAATAAACGATGCCGACTTCGCGAGCACTACTACTGATCGTTGTTAAATATTAATCAAAATAAGTTTTATGTATTACTTATTCAGTGTCAGTATTGTATTAAAATTCAATCTGGTTTTCATTTCAATTTGTAAAACTCAAAGCGAAATTGACATTTCACGTTAAACCAACGGCCGTGTTCCCGACATAGCGCTACCCATTTTTTTGCTTTATAATTCTTTCAATCAATCAGCACTACTCTCGTGCTGCCTACGGAATAAAAACCTATAAACTAAGACCTTTATCGCATATTACAGTATAATAATACATATAAGTATATTGATATTGAGATATTATAATAGGAAATATATTCAAATAAGTATTCAAAATAAATATTAAGGAAAATAATGAACCAATAAAACGAAGCATAAATTTAGGCGAAGACCAACTACTTATTTAACAAACAAAATTTGTGAAACACACTACTTCGGAGACATCTACCTATTTCGCGTAAAGCTCGGCTTTGACAAAGCCAACCGGTATTGAGGGCCCGAGGCTATTCATTTGGGTCTACAAAAGCGTAGAAATTGGAAATACCAATCTCATTAGTAGCATATTTAAAGTAAACAATAATGTATGATAAGTAATATTATAGAGAATATCATTAAATTTTTCCATAATATTAGATAAACATACATAATGTTTCCCTCATATTTTAATATTTTATTTGTATTAAATAGATATTATCAAAGTTGAACAGTTGAGCATACGTCTTAAACTAATATTATAATATTTCTAGACTATTTACAAGCACATAAAGAATCACCCTGTTAAAATGAATTTATTTTATAACACGAAAATTACCTTAATTTTCTATTAATATTAACAACTATTTGTTTTAATAGAAAATATACTGTACCTCTTTCCTTATAAGATTAGGAAACGAATCCGTTAGAAAAGCAACTTCTCGTCGTACTAATTTCAAAGTCCTTTCTCTCTCTTTCATATTTGTTTTTATTTCCTTTTCTAGCTTGCTAAATTCGAATTTCCTATCGTCCAGGTACTCCATAGCCAACTGTCCCATTTCAGTTGCTCCCATTAAGCATTTACCTTGAGCCCGACAGTCCAACTTAAGCGCCTCTAAAACCACAGTGAAGTATGAAGAGTCCTGGGAAATTGAATTATGCAGTAAGTTATTACATAAATTCAGGGACTCAGTTGTATCAAATTTATCACTAAATATTCGTTTACGTATTAAGTTAAAGCTTATTTAAGTTACTTACCTTTTTCAATATATCCAAAATTTTTTTGTACATGACCTTTATAGCTAAGGCCGCATTCTTTTTAATGTTCGCTCGTTGGACATAATTAGCAACCGCCTGCTCCTTTTTTTCGGCCGGCAATTTTCCTCCGACTTCGTAAAGAAGTCGATCCCGCAACTCAGACGACTGGAGCTTAAAATTAATATGTTTGTTAGGAATTATACACTCGAATCGTTTTGTAAGGGATTACTCAAACAGAACATAATATAAGCGAAATATCATATTTCTAATATTTGCATGTAAATTTTTAGTAAGCACAATAATTATAATTGATTGAATAGTATTATTAGTAGTAGCAGTATAAATGATTGAAAGCTTTGTCGATGTTCAAAAGTATTATATTATAAATATACATTAGCAAAAAATTAAATGATATGAACAACTTAATTCATAAGAATTAGACTAAAATATGAATATATATAAACTAAACTAAAATTATAGCGTACCTACATTTAATCGCATTATTTCGTACTAGTCTGTCAGATTGGAGCTTTAGGTAATTAATGATTTCTCGTCAAATAGTTTTAGAAGACCTTAGTATGCGTACTTGAAAAATAAAGCATGATTCACAAAGAAATAGCCATAAATATGAAGGCAAAGGTGTAAAATTATTCTCAACTAGCGGCTCACCAACCAGCTCGCTTTGTTCGGTTTCGCCTCTAGAATAGTACAAATCTATCCCACGGGAACCGTTCATTTTTCCGGGATACAAATTAACCTGTTGTTTGACCGGCAATATAAGGTATCAGCATGCCAAATTTTACTAAATTAGGTGCATAAGTTGTTGTAACGTATTGTGTACAGAATATAGACCCCAAACAATAGTCATCAAAAATTTAGTCTGTTCGTCTTTATGTCTGGAGGAGGTCTGTAGGATCTGCCATTTTGATGTTCAACGATATATATATATATATATATATATATATATATATATATATATATATATATATACCCTATGACACTCGAGTTATCAAGACGAATATAATGGCGTATAAATCATTAATTAAATTACGAGAGAACATAGTGTCGGACATACATACATAAATAAGGACAAATATAGTATTATATATAGAGTCGAAAAAATACATACATATGTATGTATATATACAGCTCGTGGCTTGAAGCATCTTTTTAGTTAGCTTAGCTTTTATGCAGTCGGGTTTTTTATTTTTATAATTTACCAGCGACTCACCCTTCGAGGGTGAGGTGAGTGAGTGAGTTTTTATCCCGGAAATCATCCCATAAGGGGGTCAAAATGGGGATGAAAGTTAGGTATCTGGAATCAAGCTAGGGGCGGACCCGAGCGAAGCGAGGGTGAGTCGCTAGTCTTATATAAAGATAAATATAGAAGGTAATATATAAGACATTTTTTAAAACAAGTATAATAGATATATTAAATAATCAGTGAAGAAGAGTGAGAGAGAAGGAGAGTGTGTAACACCATTATACCAAAAATAATACTTGAAAATGGCACGTTTGCAGTATGCTTTCTAAATAGGTACATCCTAAAAGGCATTAACACGTAACACGACCATCGAGTCCTTGGTCGGGTCAACAGATTTTTGTATTCGTTCTACACGGTCGGGTGGTTGACTCAACTTGTCAGTTCTCTCCGGCATTCAAAGCGTAAAGACGTAGCTAAATATGGCTCCTTGTCTTTCGAAACAACAAAAGATCGGTTTGACAATTACTTTCTTATGCTTGAGTGAAGAACAAAAACAAAGAAAAAAAAGAAAGTGGATGAAAATGTGGCTAAAAGAGCGAATTACTTTGAACCATCTCAATATCCCAAATCCAATGTCCAATGTCGCAAAGACAAGGTAAATCACTGTATAGCGATATGAATTGGGTCAGAACCGCTCGTTCGCGGATTTCGCTTTGCGAATCCATTATTACAATGCGACTGACAAGCGCGTAGTGAAGCGGTCGCGTCGGCCGACAGCGTTCCAGACGGTCGGGGCCGACCAAGGACGCAGCCTGTCGCGAGGGATGCGCTCGCGACCAAGGCCTAAGCACGTAATGTAACGCATACAGTATTCCAACTCGGGCCTGTCCTTGAAATAATTACCTACAGCCGAGCGGCACGTACCCACGCGTCAGGGCTGCCCGCCGGCCATTTCATCCACCTTCTTGAGTTTCTTTCTAATTTTATGATTTCAAATAGTATATTTTTTATTAAAAACTATTATTAGGAGATTTAATTAAAAAATCTCAAATTTATAAGGGTGGTATGTGACCCTTATAAATTTGAGATTTAAAAATATTTGGGCCTCGACTTAGACGTACGAAAAGCTTTATTGTTAAATTTAATAGTATAAAGAATCCGCCTTCGGATAAAAAGTTTAATTAAAAATACTTTAATTTTATTTTTAATTTAATTAATTAATTTTTATTTTTAAAACATACGATGCAAGTCTCGATTTTAATAATTAAGACTGCATGACGAGTTATTCAATTAGGAATTCTCTGTAAATACTTTAAGAGGAAGACCAGATATGTTAACTACATAAGTAGTACCGTTAAGCTTAATAGCACCCTGTCTATTTTCTCAAAAACGGCAATACTAATCTATATATATATATAAAAAAATTGTAATGTAGCCGAACCTGCACTGTTACTGCATCACAGAAAAAGTACCGGACGGATTTTGATGAAATTTAGTGGGGTCGTAGCTGAATATCCGGATCAATATATAGGATACCGCGATTTTTACCGCGGAAAAATATCTCATTTCTGAGAAAATATACAAAAAACTGATTAGAATAAAAAACGATGATACTAAATACATTTTAGCAAGGTAACTTACTAAATATGACAAAAACTATTAAAAATAGTTAATCTTGAAAAAGTATATCAATAGCGTTATTTTATTCATTTAAAAAAGTATTAGTATTTAGATATAATTTTTTCAGGAGATGTCGCCATGTGTTTTTAAAATACGTAGTTTTAAGTCCAAAAAATTGAATGTAAAAATTAGACCTTTCTATGATTTTACTTGAAATACTACGCCCGTGTTCAAATTATCAAAAAACTATGTTTTTGGCTATATAAATTAGTTACATCTATGGATACATTAAAATTTAACTAAGCCGTATCTGTGCTTTAGATATTTTTTTTGGAAAACCTTATTGAATTACATTATTATCGCTAACAGAGGCCGAACCTATAGTTTTTAGAATTTTTTTCTGTCTGTGACCGCATCACAGAAAAACCACTGGAGGGATTTTGAAGAAATTTGCTATGGTAATAGCTGGTTATTCGGGTCAACATATAGGATACTCTTTTACGAGGGAATATATCTCATTTCAGGAACCTTTGTGGCATTGTCAATCACTTCCATTAGTTACCAAGCATACGATGCCAATGAAATTATTATATGTACGAGTATACTAATATGTAAAACCTAAGAATTTGGTTTTGGTCATATGAAAGCGGGCGGAACCGCGGGCGATGCTAGTATTATAATAATAGTACAAACAAAAACACTAACACCCTCCACAAAATTACAAATAGGTTCACATATTTAGTTTCCGTTATAAAATAGGGATTATTCTCTTTTACGCAATAAGTACTGCATACCTGAATCTGGCGAAACTCTTCCATCTTTCTCTTCTTTGTATATCTAATTCTGTCGAGTTGCTTCCTTTTATTGAAATTTTCTTGGTGAATACTTTCCAAAACTTTCTGAATACAAATTATAATTATGTATTATCAACTGACTTCCAAAAGAAGAAGGTTCTCAATTCGGTTGTATCTTTGAAGTGAAACTTCTTTAGAATCGTTATGATTTTAAACTCGATGAAACGTAAATGCGGCACGAGAAAGAGATAGAATACATTACACAGGAAGTGAAAAATAATATAATTAATTACTGAATAATATGTAATGTATATTTATGTGAACGAAAATGTAAAATGTCTCTTAAACTTGGTAACAATGTTATAAAAAAATTAACCTTATAATTATCCAACTCCTGATACTCTCCTGATATTCATCTCATTCTTTCGTAGGTTACTTTTCTGAAGTTTCACTTCTAACTTTTTTTATGTTTGTTACTCGGATCTCCGTCATTTATTAACCGATTTGGAAAATTCTTTTTTGTTTGAAAGTGCATACTTCTAGTTTCGTCCCATTTAAAATAAAAAAAACTACCACCCCTAAGGGTGAAAAAATAGCTAATGAAAATTTAACCTACTTCTAATTGTTGTCATATTGACTTGAAAATTTGCAAATTTGTATTTCCGTTGATAATACAGTGATTCGATATCGCCGAACTGATCTGATGGTAGGTGGTAGGTGGAACTTTCCAACGGTTAATAGCAGATACTTTGATTTGGCCTCATTTTTTTTGATTTGACAAATCAAATACGTTAGAATTGGATTTTAGAGCCTGAATTGAAAGCGAATTTTAGTTTGTCAGTATTTATATAAAAATTTTCATCAAACTAACTTAAACCCCTATCACCTACGTTTACATGTGGTTTGTGTTATTTGCATAATTTACAAACAGGGCAAGATAAATAAAACCGTGTAATATTATATATAATGTAGAAAGCCTTGGCTCATGTAGTCACAGTGCTTTGGCAGAGTTGCCGTCGGGACGTCGTGGTTGAGTACGAACCTACGAAGCCCCAATAAGGCAGGGTAAGTTCTGTTGGGTTTTAGTGGATAGTACTGGCTTTGCTAGCCAGTGAGCAGTAGTACACAATACACATAACAACCTGAATACAGGTGGTATGCGTAAATGACATAGGTCTGGGTCCCTGGGGGCACTCGGATCTCAGTCTATATGCTTTGCTTTGTTTTTAATCGGCCGGTATCGACTTGGAAAATATCTGATTAGATATGTATAGTAAATAAAAACTCCCATTCGGTCATAATTTGCTTAATAGTGTTTTGAAGTCGGCTTTTTTAATACCCTTTGATTTTTTTTACTTGTTGTAACTAACAATGTAATCAAGTCTTGGATGTCAATATTAACCTACTTCTAATAAACTTACCCTAATTTAATTTTGGATGTATGTGTAGTTCGGATGACTATACTATAATTTGGTATCATGTAGCTGATCTGATGATGATGATGAAACCAGGAGGTCGATAATGGAATCTTCTGTGACTACTAGTAAACTCCTTGAATTTGTGCTCATTTAGTTTGTTTTAACGTGGCCCTTACATAAAGTCAGAAGTCATTTTGGTCACAAGAGAGTTTTTTTACTATGCAAAATTTCCTTTAATTAACGTCGGTCAATTAATATGAAACTAACAATTAAAGGTTTGCATAAACAAATCTGCATGATACCATAATCTTTGATAACAAAATCAAGTCTTATGAAAGAATCATTGAAACACTCAATTATTATTAATTACCTATCCTATTAGCAGTATAAACACATGCCAGCGCTAATTGTTCTGGTGCACCACGCCTTCGCTATTTGATATTGTATTTGTAAACTTATTCGATTTTGCTCTTCGATGCAATATGAACAAATAATTACATTATTAATCTCTAAGTACTAATATTTAGTCAATTTGAAAGATATAATTTAAAGTGGATACATTTTAAATACCATTTATTAGTACCTATTGAAACAGAAAAGTTTTAGTATTCAGTGTATATTTACGGTTTTAATCGTATAATATTAATATTAGAACATTAAGTTCTTTTTTATTATAAATTGAAGAATTCATTATAATTATTTTAAACAAGCTTACATCAGCTTGGCTGTTCATGTAGGTAAGTTGTAAGCGCCTGTGTTCCTGAAACGCATTACGAAGAAACTGCTTGTCGCCATACACAGCTACCTCTAGCTCTTCACGCTTGCTCGTTATGTCTCTTCGTAACTGACGAATGTCGCGTGAGTATCGTTTTTTTTGTTTAGCTAGATCCCCTTCATGAATTTTCTGATCTCTTTCTGAAATATTTGAAATATTTATATATTTTAACTGAAAAATTGTAACTAATTGACTAGGGAATTACCCCGTTTTTTGCATTATAAATTATTATTTTTGGGTCAAAAATCGTCAAAATCATAATTACGTAATTAATGAATGGCCCATAAGTGCAACAAATGTTTGTAGCTCAGTTGCTTCAACCAATAACATACCACGGTCGTTTCGAAATAATAATAAAAATTAATTTTTAATTAAACAAAACTACATAAAAATTTATCGATATTTTTATTTCTCATCACTAAAATATGTTCAAAACTTCCGTTATTGAGAGCGGTACGGGGTGCATGAGACCTTAATTTTTCTTTTACCTACAGTCTCTAAACAAACTAAACTTACGTTTTTAAGGGCGTACCTAGGCAATTACGAAATAATTACGTTCGTTTGATCCCTTGCTGTATTGTTATTACTAAAACTTTAATTATGCAATTAATATTATGTAGGATTGTACATTTTAAACACGATTACTAGTAGTTTCCTCGATAGAAAAAAAATCCAAAATGATCTCTAAAAAACAAAATAATCCCTTAGTGCAGCGTAAATAATTCAAGGAAGTTTACCAGTTTTTTGATAATAACAAAACTATACGTTTTCTATATCGTACACACTTTACATTTTCAACATGTCTATTTGTTTTAATAATATGAAGAAAATATCTAAATTCGCACGTGTTCTGTCAATCCTAGCCACCCCGGAAATTGTTAGAATTTTTGTCTGTTTATCTGTTTGTCTGTGCGTTTATGCACGCTAATCTCAGAAACGGCTTATCCGATTTAGATGTGGTTTTCACTAATATATTGTGATATGCTTCACTTAACATTTATATGTTTGTTTCATGTCAATCGGTTTATAAATAAAAAAGTTATGTCAATTTAAAGAATCACGCTTTTGTTAAACTGAAAAATGAAGGGTTCCCTTGGGGTAGATCTGTTTATGGTTTTCTAGAACCCGAGCGAAGCGAGGGTGAGCCGCTAGTTATAATTATATTTAAAAAGAGCAACTGTTGAGTTTCTCATCGGATCTTCTCAGCAGAACTGCCTTACGAGCCAGTTGTAGATTCCTTATGGACTGACATTTAATTCATAAAAAAACTAAAATTGACGATTCAAAAGTGCTTATAAAATTCTATATGAATAAAGTATATTTTTTTATTTTTTTATTTTATTCTAAATGCCTTTAAAATAAATGCTACATTTTGTACGTGTTTTCTTTACTTCTTCACGGGGAAACGGCTGGATGGATTTGGATGAAATTTATTACAGAGATAAAACTATAAATTGTAGTTATGTATATGTATATGGAGAAACACGTAGGCTACCTGTATATAATAATAAATACAAAAGGCATCGCTTGTAGTAAATATTACTTATATTACCGTAGAGCTTAATCAACCCTCTGTATTGATTTATCTTGTCTTTAATAATCCAATTCTCATCTTGCATCCCATGAATGCGCACTTTTGCGGCGGACAACATCTTGAATATTATTTTCTTTTTGTAAAGAACAAAAATTAGCTACGTAAAAAATGCTCAATTTCTATGTATAATAAAAATTGTAAAGTTTGACATTCTAGTTATTTTTTAAATTTTTTCATAAAGATAATAAATATTTTCACAGTAACATAAAATGTCAGGAATAAAAGCCATTTACATTTTAATTCTGATCATAAATATTTTTTGGATCCTATTATAACGTTTTTTCCTGTGTGAATTAGTTAATCTCCCGCGGTGAAAAGTAGCCTATGTCATGTCACTCTCGAGCCCTCCAACTATTTCCACACAAAAAATCACGCCAATCCGTCATTCCGTTTCGACGTGAAAGAAGGAGAAACAAACAAACAAACAAACAAGCAAACACACTTTCACATTTATAATATTAGTATGGATAGTACGTATCCCATAGAAATTAGAATCTACTAAATAAAAAAAAAATTGTCATAAGTTCAATACCGATTAACTTGCTTTCCATTTTCTCCCAATTTTACATTCCAAATATTTGTAAGATATAGTTATTGAAAAACGGCAACGCTCTTTATTACAACTAGCGCTTACCCTTACTATTCGAGTGCCGCCCTAGTACGTTTTAATTCTTTGAGCGGAACTCATAATTCTTTTTCTAAAATAAAAGTAGCCTTAGTTACTCCTTATAAGATCAGCTATCTACCAATGCAAGCCCCGTCAAAATCAGTCCAGCCGTTTCGGAGATTAGACAGAGAGAGAGAGAGAGACAGACAGACTAAAATTTAAAAAAATGTGTTTTTCCTATAAGTACCGTTTATAATTTCATAATATGCATTTAGTAAAAAGTTATTATTTTGATATTACAAACATACACTTCAATTTTATTTATCTGTATAGATAGAAAAGATGGAAGACATAGATAGAAGATGTACCTATAGATAAATAGATAATAATCTATTAATGCGTTGCTCTTTGAACCGGGAGCCATTGACAAAATCATTTCATCAGTTGGATTCTTATTAAAGACCATTCCTTTCTGGATATACAACTTTGAGACTCCCTACCGTTGGTAAGATGGTTATCTTATTCTAAAATATGTTATGTAAGAAATCCCATTATTTCAAACTCATTTGTAAATTTAATGAAAAATTGAAAAGCCTAATAAATGATTTGAGGACAAAGAAGTCAACATTAATTATTTTTAAATGCTTCCTAATGTATACGTCTCCATTTGTGTGTGCAACGGTTAGCTCACAATCAATAAATAGAACACAAACTTTCAATTCTGTAGTTTATAATCAATTTAAATATTTGGACAAGTCATTTTTTTATTTTATTTTTTTCATTACATTTATCATTGTGACAAATTTATTTATACAATTCTGTTTTACAATATTTTCAATTGCACTTTACTGATGCTTGTTTAAAGAAATTATTAGAATAATCAAAACTAATAAACATAAAAAAATTAACCGAGTAGCACCACTAAAAATACAACCACCACATGCTTGGACCTATTTTTTTACAACAAAATATACCATAAATATTTGTCTTGCATCCCTTTTTGTTTTCATGCTGTAGATATAAATGAAATAAATATACACGAATCAGCATTTTTGATCATATTTATATAATTTAAGAGTGTAACAATACATCAATAATAACTAATACTAAATTAATAAGCAGGTTTAATACTATTTCAAATTTACGTATAATATATTTCCAATGTCTTTAACGGAAAGCCGTTTAAAATTAAGCCATATGCTCGCTTTCAATATTGTAAAGGAATACATACTTTCATATAAATAACATTTTTCTATATATTATTATTACTAAATAGACTTATGAATTTAAATTATTTTTTATTCCAGTTTCATTTCAGGATCGTCTAAAAGGGAGCATAAAGCTCTATGAGTTCCAATGCCACATCTCGTTCCCGAAGGACAGTTGCTACAAGCTGGACCGGGTTCATATACTGGAAAACCATCAATATTACCAGCGGGCCCATAATTACAGAAAATATATGCCATAATGTCGGGCTCCATTTCTTTCTTTTCTTTATCAATATCTAGATTGCCCCTATAAAGAGGAGATTCAAGTCCATCGCGAGCTTTTTTAGTTGTTTTATCGAAATCTTCAAATCTACTTGATTTAGAAGTTGTCATGTATTTTGTTCGACGTAACAGATTTTCTTTACTAGGCGTGCGTGTGACATTAACTGAAACGTTTTTAAGTACGGGTCGTGGAGTGCGTCTTTTACGAAATAAAATACATGAACTGCGTTTTGCTGTACACAAAGCTTGCGAGCAACCTATTCGCCAAGTTGATGCCCACGCTGCCGCAGAATACCAATGCGCGTTACAGCCACCGGGTGCGCTACAATTCGTGGGTCTAAAAGACCAAACGTACTCAGGAGGCAGCGTTCTCGATCCTGAAAACCATGCGCCTACTGCGTCTGCTAATATTTGCGCCTCTGTTACTCTGGGCACCACCGGTCGCACGTCCATATTTTGAATAACATTAAACCTTATGGTATTTCTACACTCATCGTGTCGTTTTTGACATTGTCGAGCCCAGATCTCAGCCATTTCTTCAAGTTCAAAATCCCAATAAAACTTTCTCATATTTGCTGCCGGCGGCTGTCCCGCTTCTAGTCCCATGGCAATATTATCTCTATGTCGATTATGTAGCTGTAAAATTTGATATTTCATCCACGTGGTCATACCTGAAGCAAACAACCTCGAACTGTGCTTGTTCTTAGCTACGCACATAGTATGTTGGTTTTCTAAAGAACAATCTGGATGTAAACAATAATCGAAAACTGTTTGAGTTTTATTACCGTCCTGGCTTGACGCTGTTAAAAACATAAAGAACAAAAAAATCAGCAATGAAATATTCATTGTATTTTAATATACTCGTATGTATATATATTACAAAAAAAAGAATAAAGGCATGAAAAAAGTGACATTAATTATATTAATGACCATAGATTAATATTATATCAAAGAGTATAGTTATAAACTGTATTATATACAAGAGAAACAAATAAAGAGCTTAGAACACATTATAAAGTACTATAGATTATCTACGCATAATAATTATAAACTTATAAAATATTTGTGTTACACATTTAGAAAATATACTAGTATATATACTAAATATATACTATACAATAGTGCCCTAAATACAATATATAATAACATACGAGTACTTCGGAGTACTCCGAAGTAGAGAAATTATTCCTAAGCGCAAATACCCAGGTTATACAATATTCAACCTGAGTGAATCAGACATTTGTCGGATGAGAGGATTTGTAACTGGGCACTAAAGTTAATTAATTACTACATATACTATTTTTAATAAGTTAAATATGTGTGTATGTTGTGGGTGATATCTAGGACCACTAAAATGTTTTTAGAAATCCTTTCACCAATATAAAAACAGAATGCCATGAGTATTTTATATTATTTTAAAATGTGAGTGCTGACGGAAGGATCTTTTAATTATACTAAAGCAACTATCTGTACTGCCTCTTTTTCTATAAAGAAAATATACGATCTGTATGGCAAAATCGAGAATAGCTTTAACAGCAAATCACGCTACTGTTTTTGATTTTGACATTTATTTTGCCGGACTCCATCTATAAAAATACTTAGTTGATGTATTGATTTATGTACTCACTAGATGGGGATGGCAATGATATCGCGTTGTGATTATATTTCCATTGTTTGAGTTTATTTGTGCGTGTGTCTTCTAGACATGGAGAGTTCCCCCCAACGTGCATTCACCTTGTCGTGGTTGGGGGGGAGGGGGTGGGGGGACTCATTAGCGTCCGCCAGTTCAGCCGGGCGCGCATCATCGATGGCTTAAGGCTGGCTGAGTTGCCGGAGCTAGGTACCTACTGAGATTTTTATATTTCCATATTTGCTTTGTTTACTTTATATATTCCTTCGTGTCGTACTTAAGATATAATATTTTATATCGATCTATTATTATAATTGAGAAAGTTCCAATATGAATGTACGTTTGTTACACACAATGTGTGTGTGTTTGTGTTTGTGTATGTGTGGGTATGTGTGTGTGCGTGTGTGTATGTGTGTTTGTGTCTGTGTCTCTCTGTGTGTGTGTGTGTATGTGTGTGTGTATGTGTTGTGGTAAACCAAAAAGTTTAAAATTAAATAAGAAATTGCGATATATAAATGCACTTATTTATTACAAACAGCGCAATTGCAACAGCAATAGCAGTCAAGGAGATCGAATAAATTTTTTAAAACTTCACAATTAATTTTTTCTTCAATCCGAGTTCGCTTACCATAATTAAGTTTATACAGAACCGAGCGGCGGAAACATAGCGCAAGTTGTGCTTGCTCAATCCTTAATTATACCTACGAAATATGAAAAATGAGTTGCATAAAGTCTAGAAAAAGTTCTATGTTTGTTGGAAATAACAAAGTTTTTCCCTACAGGCGTTTCCTCTTTTATAAAACTAATTAACTCAATGTAAAGTAATTAACTCATTGAAAGTAATATACAAAAATAAAAAAATGATGGCGTTAAAAACTAACTAAAAAGTTGATAACAACTTGACAAAGGAACTTGACAAAGGAACATAGTCGGAGACCTACATATTATGTACATATTTTGTAACAACTGCGTGTGTATGACTTCAACTAAATTATTTACTAGCTTAATAAATTATTAATTAGCTTTTTAGTTTTGGTCAGTTAGTCTTTTTTTACTTTTATTTAACAATATCTTATGCTAAATTACTTTTTAACATATAAGCTTTATATATTTTTGTAAACGCCTCTTAAAAACCTGTATTAATTCGGACCGATTAATTCGACCGAAAAAATTTTTTTCGATACACAAATTGGTGCCTAAGATACGCTATTTAGATTTTTAATGATATCTATATGCCACTCACGTTATCAAGATAAATCGAACGACGTACGAATCTTCGAAATCCGTTTAGCCGTTTAATAATTACGAAGGAACATAGATAAGGTCGGACGTACATACAAGTTTGATTCAGTGTGTAGTGACTTGCAGTATCAGCAGTCGCAGGTTCCAGTCCCGCACGAATGCTTGCACTCCAGTCGTCGGTGTTTATATTTATAATAATATGTATGTATTTGAAGTTATATACATATGTATGTGTAGTGAATCAACTATCTGTTATCCATAACACAAGCCTCGTAGCTTACCATGGGACAATATGGTGATGTGTGTTAATGTCCTAACATATTTATTTATTCATGCATACATACAAGTCAAACACATAATCCTCCTTTTGGCTTCGACGCAATCGGGTAAAAACACAAAGCGCAAACCTAATGAGAGAGCAATATGTAAATATTAAATAAAATAAAAGTAATATAAATGGCTTGTATTGGTTAAAATAACGATCTATTGATTTTCAATAAAGTTAACAATTAATCAAAAATTTATTTCCCCTTAAAAAATTGAAAAGTTATACATATAATTATTATAGTATGACAACCTTGTTATATCCTACCTAAAGTAGACGGAGGCCCTTTTAGAGTGAGACTTGAAAATGTTATATTTGGGCACACTTTATTATTACTCTGTGGCAACTCCCTTTACTTTATTCTTGTTTCATGTAATAGACAAATATTATGAATTAAATTTATTTATCTGTATACTACAGACTATCTCCTTTCTACTTCTCTTTTCACTTCAGGCTCATGATGCAAATCAATATTGCTTAAATATATAATTTTTTTATTTTATTTTAGTGCTTTAAACAATGGCTTTTAAAATTGTGTCAATGATATTACGAAGTTTCGTTCTGTCCCTAATGGTTTTAGGAATGTTCTTTATTTCGGAGTGCCAGGACTTGATAAGATTACACCATTTTATAATGTTGGGAGTATGCGGCAGCTTCTCTATAGTGAACTTGGGACTCCTCTTAGAAGCAGGCTTGCAAATAGATTCAGATAAATGTCTAGAAGCTGTATTTTTATTTGTAGGTATTTTACTGAATTTGTTAAATGCTGTGCTTGCTTTCACAGATTTTTATTATGCCCTAGAAAGCAGAAAAAGTCAAACCATGAATATTGGTATGATATCAGCCTTAAGTATAGTTTTTTATGCTGGTGATCTTATTCTTCTTTTAATAAAATAAAATTATTATTGAATGCTTTTGAATGTACTCATACCTATTGTAATTTTAACAGGCCCAGGAAACAATGTTAAATCACTATACATTACAGTGATTTATTATTTTTTATCACATTCCGCCGAATCAAATATCCCGCCTGCATTTATCCATCCACTAATGAGTTACCCTTGCTTCGCTCGCTTGCTGGTTGCGTCACATGGTGCGTTTTAAATAGAAAATAACATACCTTAGGAGAAAAACCTATGCTACTGCTGATTTTTCTGAATTTTCTAAAACTTTGTTTTTATGTATCTCTTAAGACTAGCCAGCGTTAGCCATCTAAATTTCTAATAACAACTCGATAGAACCAGTTATTGCGTTTTCCCGTGGGAATGAAAGATTTTCCTGTACTTAAAGGTATCCTAAATGTTAACGTGAGTAATGAGTTATCACTACACAACATTTAGTTAAAATCGGTTCAGTACTTTTTGCGTGAAACGCGCACATCGATTTCGCTAAGTTACTATTTTATTATATGTATAAATTAATTTATTCATCCATTAATCTTCATAAGTCGGCCGATTGGAAAAATAGTTACGTACTTATTTAGTTTACGAAGCTTTGTCCAAATTATAAAAATAAAACCCCAACTGCGTTAAAAGCGAACCAAAAATATGAAAACAAATTGACAAAGAAACATAATATTATGCCGAGACATACATACATATATATGTATGTCTCTGTACATGTATAATGTACATGTTTTATTCTTTAGTCGAGTCTTGCTTTATGCATATCTCCAAACCCAACTCCCAACTCCAACTGCATAATACTATCTACCTTTGTGAACTCGTTTTCACATTTTTAGTTCGCTTTTTGCACAGTGGTTTTTTTTATTATTATAATTTAATTCTTTATTTACAGCTTCTTAGTGTTGTTGACTAGTTGGTTAGTTTGGAGTTTTAATTTAACAATATGTTAACCTAAATTATTTTTAAACACGCATATATGTAGGTTCCATCTATACTTTTCTGTTATCTAATCTTTAAAACCATCATTTTAATTTTCAGCTTATTTTTTCCATATGCCCCTCACATATGTGTTTACATTATAGGTAGCCCACATGTGAATCAATATTTATCAACTCTACACATTTCCGTCAACAAGAAACTCTTGAACAGAGATTTGCTCACGTATAATATTTTAATTTTATCTTTAAATAGTAGAAAAGATAAATCTAGAAAAGTTTGTGGAATCTTATTAAACATACATGCGTATACTCAGAGACACGAAGAACTTATTACCTTTCGGAGTCGAAAACTAAATATAACAAGGTTTTTTCTATTCCTGTCGCTTATAGCATTTTTTTTTCGTTTAATACTAGGTTATTTAATTCAGACCAGAAAAGTATAAGCGACAATGCTTTGTTACTTCGTCATAATTTGGTTTACTACGCTCCACTTTAAAAATTAAAGGAAGGTAAACTTTAATATATATTAAGAATAAAAAATGGCCAACAATAGATCCTTGTTGAACACCCAATTTTAAAGGAAAACCAGAAGATTTTACATATTTTATATCAACCTTTTTTTTTTAACGTTGGGAAATGCATTCACGCACGAGGTGTGGGACTCACCGGCAAAGCCAGTACTACCCACTAAAACCCAACAAAACCTTCCCCCGTCGTAATGGGGCGTCGCAGGATCGCTTACGCATTCAACTACGACGCCCCGACGTCAGGTC